TTACTCTTGAAGATTTAGATAGTACAATAATCACAAATTGATTGCCGGAGACTGTCTTCATTTGTGCAGTTATATTTTCTTAGCAGTGAATCACGAGAGATTTTTACCATATTCGTTTATGCATTTTCTAATTCATTTATACTTTCCTACAAAACAATGGATATGATAGAATATGAAAATACCTAACTCTAATATTGCGATTCACCAAACAATGAATAGGATATAGCAAATCCCTGGTTTATTTTATCATGTCCTATCCTATTTTGACTAAAAATTTAGACGACCAAACATAACCTTAATTCTCTTGATTCGTTACTGGATCATTTTACTCACATTGGAAGGAATAAAAGTTGGTTTGGAATGTCATTTTCAATAATACTAATGTTCTTCCCATTAAGGACTTACCTGCCCCACATATGTTGAAGTTCCCCCAATGTTCTTGTTTTTAAATTGCATCGTTTTTATGCTTGTGGATGTGAAGACCGATGTCCCTCGTCGTTACTTAAGACTTAGACTTGAATCACTACGTTTACGTATTTCTTGTGATCCCTCACAGTACACATATCCGATAATTGGTACGTGTCTTATAGGAGAAATCATATATGATAAGCTAGTCGGGTGTCCAAAGAATTGGGAATGTCCCCGTTGGATTTTACACTTCGCATGAAACTTTTCGAGAATTGAAATTCTGGGATTTGTCAGGAGTAACTTATTTTTTGGGATGAGCTAGAGGCCTAGATGCATGGAGATGTAGATTACAAGGATCGTGTCCTTCTAGCGTGCTACTGAATTGAACCTCATGTTTTACTTTCACTTAAATAGGGTAATTCTAAAATAGGACCGGAATTGCTAACTGCCAGAGTTTCTAAAATATGTATTTGATTTGGTATCTTGGTTTGTTTTCCTTCCCATTTCCATGAATGACTTAATCTGCAAATGGTGAAAATGATTTTTCTTTTTTGAGATTTTATTATTTCCTTTGCACGATAATTTGGCTGGCTAATTGGTAAACGGATATAATTTTGCATGTTAACCTGCAAATTAGTTAAAGTCCTTTTTTCTTGAAATCTTTTAATTTCCTCTGCACTAAAATTTGGTTGACTAATTGGTAAACGGATATGTCAAAGTCCGAGATGATTGTTGATTGATGATATCTTAGTTTTCATCTTTGAGCATGGAAATTATGGTAGAATGATATTAAAAACAAGTGTATGTTACAGCTGCAATGTAGGCTGAAATATTAATACACTGTGATTTGAAAAAATTTTCACTTTTAGTGTGCACTTGTATTTTCTAGAGCATAAGTTTTTATTTTGCAGGTTTTGATTGTTTGTCACCCCGCCAGCATCGAGTATTGATTCTAGACTGGATCGCATTGGTCTCACTACTGACAAGTTACATATTGCGGTTTCTCGTGTGAGAAATGTGATCATGTGGGGAATCCACTTCTCGATCCAAAATGCTGATGTAACCCATGTTAGTATTGTGCTCAATAATTTTGTGTGGACCATCATTGACAATGATCGGTGGTGAGACAAACTGTCTTTGAGTTGATTATTGACAGATTTAATTAGTATTATGGTATTAAAAATCTTTACTTGCTGAAGGTTGAGGGAGATTGAGGGAGAATTCTTTGAGAATATCCGAGAACGTGGTGTTGACTCGATATTTGCATCTACGGAAAGCCCATGACCCAATGTTTTCAATTCATCAATTGGAAAAAATTAAAAAATCATAATTTGTGTTTTTTACACAAATTTGTGCACTTATTTGATGAAGCATCTAAGGCTGATACGTCCTTTTAAGGTTTGAGTAGTTTCTCTGTTACTAATAAGCTGACACTTCTTGTCTTGGACTTGTAGTTATATGTATTATTTGATGATAAATTCATATAATAGGATGATATAATGTGGAATGATATAGGTAGAAAACACGCAAGAGCTCCATTTATACGTAATGCTACCGGTGCTATCTGCAACCAAATTCACAACTGGTTCATTGGAACTCTAGAGGTACTACTGCCTTTTTCCTTTTTCTTTTACCTCAATCTCATTCTAGTTAATTATTATGGCCTGTTATTATTCGCGATCTTTTAATTATTACGACTCTTATGATGTGCCCGGCGTCCTCACTTCATTCCTATTAACTTGTCATGCTAGAGAATGGACCAGGCATGGTACAAAACAACCCTATTCCTTTTTCTTTTTTTTCGCTTTTTAGCCTGGAAGAGAAGAAATAAGAAATACTAGCAAGTCCGAAGAACCGTAGCTGAAGATGCTCCAAATGAGATTGTGAAGTCCATTACGCTAGACCATGTCCTCATCCTCCACATTGTGGAGCAGATCAAGATCTTTAAAGTTCTGCTGAGGGGAAGAGGGGTTCGCTGCAAAGGGTCGAAATAGCTGATATGGTGGGGAATGATACCATGACAAGAATGTGGTAAATCTTGGAATGTGCAACGATGAAATTGGAAACCCTATTTTCCCTTCAAAACCGATGGTTATATTCATTATTTGCACTTTTTTATTGGTAAATTCTATCCTGAGAGTTTTATCCTACTCACTTAGTCTCTCACACGTCCACTCATATAATTATCATACTCTAAGTTTGTCATTGAAACTGTTTTTTGAAAAGTTGTCTCGTCTTTGCTTTATCAACCTACTTAGCCATATTGTATTATGGCCATGACTGTCTTGTTGTGTCTTTTACACAAATTTAGTCAAACTTTGATCGGGCATAAGTTTTTCGTCCGACTTTTCGTTGATGGATTTTCTCACCTACGAAAAGCATGTTACTCGATATTTTGAATTCATCAAATTGGGAAATTTTTTTAAAAATCTTGATCGGACATAAATTTTTCGTGTAACATCCCATTAACTTGATATTTGCATCTACGGAAATCCTGTGACTCAATATTTTCAATTCATCAAATTGGGGAAAATTTTGAAAAATCATCATATTCTTGTTTTTTCAGACAAATTTGACCAAATTTTGATGGGCCATAACTTTTCCATCAGACGTATCATTAACTCGATTTTTGCATCTTAGGGAAAGCCCATGACCACAAATCCGAGTCAAATAGCAATGTTGTAACAACTATTGCCCTTGTGGGCGAAAGGATCCGGACGGCATACTTATGTGGAGATATAATCCTTCTTGATGTTGGGATATAGGTGGTGGAGACAATGCTTAAGGTAGATTGTCGCTCCGAAGGATGCCGGCTTTGCACCTAATGAGTTTCTAGTACGGTCCGTTTCTTTTCCTCTTCGACGACCATTCTATCTTGAGTCCTCCGGATGATGTTCTGCACCTGTAGCTGCCTTCTTTGGTTTTAGTATCGTAATTTATGTGAGGGTTTCATTCGTTTGTTTTTTGGAGCATTAAGGAAAGTGAACTTGATGTTGAGATTCATATTTGGTTCCGGCATTAGAATGGAAATATTTTAGTATCGTGATATACATAAGGTTTTCATTTGTTTGTTTTTTTGGAACTTTTAGGAAACTGAACTTGATGTGGAGATTGTTCAGGCATTCAAGTGGAAATGGAAATAATCTTGGTTCTAGAAAACTAACAAAAATATTAGTTTAGTCTTTTTTTCATTTCTCATTTTATTTTGGATAAAATGTTCTTTCCTATTAGAAGTGATGGTGCTTTGACGAATGCCATCCCATTTATTTTGTTAGCATTTGCAACTCGTTGTTTTTGTTTCTACTCTGTCTTTTGAAATTCTTCCATGGGTTCACGAGTTCATCATGTAAAGTTATTCGAAGCACCTTATTTTATCCGGTAATTTTCAGTTTTCATATGTGCAAATATAAGAGATCTTGTTTAACTATGCGGGGAGCCTTGGACATGAAGTGGTATCTCTGATCGTTCACGGATTACTATGGGGTCCAACGAGCCTGTTCGTTTGCACTTGTTTGATGAAGCATCAAGGCCAAACCGTTACGGAAGATGCGGATTTCATTTTGTGATATAGCATCCACTCCCCTTCAAGGTTTGCATAGCTTTTCTATTATTAATAACCCGACAGTTCTTGTGTTGGATTTGGTAGTTAGCTTGTATTATTTGATGATAAATTCATATAATAGAATGATATAATGTGATATAATTGTGCACTTGAATCAAGTGTGAAAACTGAACTTGATGTGGGAGATTCGTATTTGATTCTGGCATTCGACCTTTCTTTGCATTTCCCATTTTATTTTGAATGAATTATTCTGTTAGCATTTGCATCCCGTCCTTTTGTTTTTTGCTCTTCGTCGTTTCATATTATAATTACCACATATTTTAATCTACTTGTTGCTGATCCGTTTTGTGGACTCTTATCTCGAAACAAATTATCTGACACAGCTGATCCTAGACCTTGTTTAAAACCTTCTTTATGTTTCTCGCCCTGACTTTTTAAATTTTAAAAAGTTAACTTTCTGGAAATAAAAAAAAAAGATGGAATCAATGGAAGGTGTAAGCAAATTGGTGTCTTCCTTCGAAGCCCACGGGATGCGAGTATGATTGACTTTCGTCAGTCAAGAAGCATCTAACCGAGCCAACTTAATATGAATGCAAGCGAAGTCCTGCTCTGTCCACAAATGAATTTACGATGGCATATGTTAAGAATGAACATCTAACCCTATCATGCAACCACAAAAGGATAAAAAAGGGTCAGACAAAATATGCAAGTTATTTCGATAACTCCGTCCCCTTGCACTTACACTCGGAATCTGGTTTTCTTGATCACAGATACAAACTCGATACTCAAAAAGTAGTACACTCATTGAAACACATATATTACGGTAAATAAAAAATCCTGACCCCTTCGTGGTAAATCATAACTCATCCTATCCATATTACATTATCCATCACCAATGTGGGTAGGATGCTCTATGGAGACTGATCCAGAGCTTTAAGTAAAATCCATGGGACAGGACACTTTAACACTCTTTAGTGTTTGAACATAATGGACACAAGCGAAATCGCATGTAACCGTACAATGACCTGAATGAAAAACTTGAAATCAGAGTGACCTTCGTTGAATGTAAGCAAAAGATCGAAGGCTAGGACGTAATAGCTGCACTATCATTGCATATCGTTTACACTCTGAACAACTTTTCCTCCCTCAATTTGAAACCTAACAATATGGACAGGATGAATCACATCACCATATTTAATCCACAGAGGTTGTTAGTGAAATCATCTACAAAGAAAGTTACGTTCAAGTTCATCCAACTCAACAAATTGTCGTCACAAAAACTTTTCTGGCAATCCCAAACCCAAACCTATCTGACGATTCTGTCTGCCTGGTAAAGGAAGTTGAGGCTTTTTTGAATGAACTTACTATTCGCCTTCCACCTCGACCATTGCATTCTGATTGGCTCTGTGGAACTGTTGCTACCCCTTAAGATTATCTGACTCATTTATCATTTCGATCTGGAGTAAGGAACAAGAGTGTTTAAGATGTTAATGATATCTTCCACATTGTTTAGCAAGTGCATGATGACCAGATTTAATGCAGTGAATCAGCTCAAACCCAACAACTATCTCTCCTTTTGAAGCAAATAGGTTTATAGTATTTCCATCCTTTCCAGATGCTTTGGATAGAAATGCCAGTTTATCAAAAAACAAAACAAAAGGCACAAAAGATGGAAAGCCCAGTGATGCATCAGTCTATTGATCAAAGAGAGAATAATCAATCTTTAGATGTAATGCTTTCTCAAGCACTAAAATATGATACGAACCTCACCACCAACCCCTCTGCCTTATGTTATCAGAGAGAGAGAGAGACAGAGAGACAGAGAGAGAAAGAGAGAGAAGGTGGAAAGATATGAAAGGAGGAGCCTACCGAGCAATATCAGTATTATTAGAGATGTTGAGCCCTCCAATCAACTGCAAAGTTCTCTTCAGAATCATCATCACTTGATGACTCTTCTTGTCCAGACTCCTCGCTGACTTCTTCAGAACCTTTCATACGTTTTGCAGACCTAGCAGCCTTCAACTCCAGCTTCTTCTTCCGTAATATCTCCACTCTTCCCGTGTAAACCCTGCAACATTACCAAATACACGAATTCATATAGCAGCTTTTGTATGATATGCATGCACGGATAATCCATAAACTAGACTCACTTTTGCTCTACAGATTCTGCCTCTTCTATCATCTCAGCTGCATCAATCTGTAATCAAAATTTCAGAATAATGGTCCATGGAGCTGCATCAAGTAAATTCAAAACTAGAATAAAGTAGATATAACATGGAAACACGGGATAAGCAAGGAACCTCCTCTTCTTCCAGCCTATCATCCACCTCCCGCAAGTCCTCCTGAATCAACTTTTCGAATTCTTTGTATTCGTCTCTGAATAGCATTTAAAAGATAGCACAACTGTGACAATGCAGTGGCAGAAATGAAAAAAAGTAGGAGTTCATCGCACATTACTTCCATAAACTCATCTGACAGAGGACAAAAATTAACAGCACATTCTTTTCATTTTGGCACTGAGAATTTGGTAGTTGGATGTTCTATAAGTAACACAAGAAAAAACTTACTTCACATCTATCTTAACTGGCTTGATGCCACGAGCGCGTAAATCAGCCTCCTTGCTATCAAAGAAACCTTCAGGGAGTGCTCCTTTTGCTTGCTTCATTTCAGGACCCGTCATTGTTTCTACCGTCTGGATGTCCTCCCTAGATGACTGACCGCTTCTTGTTGCTAGAACATCATCAGAAGGCAATCCATTCATATTGTTCTGCATTTCCACTGAAGTATCAACTTGAGGTCGAGTAGAATTCCCTATAATTTTTCCAGTTACCAGGATATGTCAGCTTCATAGAGTTGAGTTCAGTTTAGCATAGACAATATATATATCCAGTGACCCTATAATACAATGATATGTAATTTCACCAACATCACCATTCAACACTATCTGATGAAACAGCACTCCAGTAATTGAACTTAACATATGAAACAAGTAACTCAAGAAGTGGAGGGTACTTCAGCCGCAAATGCTTCCACATGTCAAAGGAGGAAATATATCTCAGTAAAGTAAATCGCAGCTTTTGTAGATGGGAGACACCCCTTGGTGCTCTTTGATACAGATGCATATAAACTAAGTAATAGCAGTTTGACCAAAAGCGATACCAAGTTACACAGAAGAAAATATCCAAGCGCTTTAGAGGATGTTCAACAGTTTTGGAACTACTGGGTTATACCTAGAAGTATTCACCAAATGTTTCGATGGTGGAATCTTTATATTGGTTCTCGACTCTCACGCTCCAGGATATCTTGAAATTCTGACCCTCTTGTCTCATGTGTTGAATTTGGAGGGAGTAACAGAAAAATGTTCAGAGGAGCAAAGTCATCAGCTTCTTCTGTCTTCAGTTCCCTTTAGGCTTCATGTTCTAATTCCTATATGCTTCATGGTGATACAGCTATGTCATAATCTAGGCCTAGCATTAAGTTTTTGAAATTCAAGAGAAATGGATTTTGCAAAGTAGATACCAGGTGAAGCCTGAAAGACAGTAAGTTAGAGCCTCCATTTGGTGGACAATCAAAAGCTTGAAGGCCTTAGACTTGATATTTATTCAGTCAAACGGCCATGGAGAGTAGGTGCCTTCATGTGTTCCACAGAGACAAATTAGAAGAAACAATACGGTCGTGGTCAGGTGACATCTGGAAACATAATTCAAAGGCAACTCCAAAATAGAGCTGATATTACTCAAAGGTAACAAGAAACCATGGTCGAGGCAGGGAACTTGCCCTCCTTGAAAGAAATCCCATGTAATATCCACAGAGGTGGAATGAGAGGAAGGGAAGGAGACAGGCCTAAGCCTAAGGAACGAATGCAATGGGAACAATACCAGATGATATGCCCTAATCCAGCATTTGTGGAAAAAGAGACCAAGGATACAATTTAAGTCGCTGGAGTATGCTTCTGATGTGGTCAACCAGAAGGCACGTTCATGACAGTCCTCAAACAGATAGGCCACAAGCTCCTAATAGGAAAATTGGACAACAATCCTTGCAACAGTCTAGGGGTGTACATTTATATAAACCATAGGGAGTTTCAAGTTAGTATCCTGAGGTCAACCTAGACACCAAATTTGACACTTCAACTCCCAATAAATCAATCCACATACATTGAACCTTTCATAACTCGAACTGCAGTAAAATAATGATTTAAACACCTTCTCCATCACGACCAATTTCCGATCCTGTGACTAGGTCGATCGCTAAAACAGCTGAAGCAGACTTACAGTGCTTCACTCTCAATGCATAAACATAAGAGGATGTCATAAAAAACCCAGCGGCGCATATTTTAAAGTAATGCATCAAATAGAAAACAAAGCGTAACAATTTAAATTATTACCGGATACAACATTCGCGGGCTTACTGAGAACAAAGCATAGTTTTATTTCAATTTAGATAATGACATTGTAAAGATGGTGCGTACTCCAACTCCACAAACAGAGACATCTAAGAAAAACTACTCAGTGATTCAATATGTTGACACACTGAAGGATGCCAGTATAAAGTGGACCCAATAAAGTTTTATACACGGCTATTGCATCAGCATCAGCTACAGCATATGAGAGGAAATTGCATTACACACGCGCGCAAGACAGAGAGGGTGCATACCAGCTTTACTCTTCTGAAAATCATTGTCGAAAAAATTTGGAGGAAGTCCGGAGGATGATTTGGGTTTAGGCATTGCTCTTGAGGATTCATTTTGGTTTCCCTGCAGCTCCTTAGAAGGTTCAGGTGGAGGTTTCCGCAATTCGGAGGCCGGGTCCGACTTTTTATTGGTATTCCCTGTTGATCCAGCTGCACTTGCTTTTAAATTGGAAATTGCCTGTTTGTATACAAGAATCCATTCTAGCCATTAAAGTCACAGCAGTAAAAATAGAAGATAAGCGATGGTCACATCATAATAGATGGGAATTTTCCAGGGGAAAAATGGACAAGGAAGATGCAGATAGAGGAAGCTATGAGATGAGAAACTGAAGTGCTATTGTAGTTTCATGCAGAAGATTTACTGATTTAAGCTCCGCTTGTTTCGTGGAAAATGAATGATTGCAAAAATATTTTCCTGAAAATGATCGCTTGTATCCTTTAAAATAATTAGTCAATGGAAAATGTTTTCATTATCGACAACAATTCATGTCTAAAAATTTTCGTGGACACTCAAAATATTTTTCGTCCACTCATTTTTGTAAGTGATAGAAAACGATCATTTTTAAGAAATATGTAAATCTAATGACAATGCATTTTCCCCCTCTTAGGCTTCAAAAGCAATTATGTAAATCTCTCCTGTTAGCAGTTTTCACTGACAGAAATTGGAAGCACACAAAACTCAAGCAAACAACTTTGGAGATTGAAACATTACAAAGTATATTACTGAGAGGATTTCTACTAATTGCAATATCATATGATCAAAAAATTCACCATTTGAAACCTCTTCCACAATATTTATTTTCCTATGTATGGTGATCTTTCCACCCACAGGCACAGCTTTCAGTATCATTAGCCGAATTTCGCTAATCAAATCCACTGTTATGATATAAACAATTACCTCATGATGTTTACGAGAAGCTTGGTGTGCATCCCAGTGGGAATCAGACTTCAGAACAATGTCACAGACCCTACAAACAGGTTGATCAGATTCATTGTACCTGCGAAACCAAAGAAAAAATAGCCTAGATGAGAACAATAGATACTATCCATGCCACACGAAAGTTAGAAACGCGGTCCCGCACTTCAAGTTGCAGCCGGATTTCGATGTTGGAGCTATTAGGCGTGCATTGTGAATCTATGGAGAACCAGAAACTACTGTGGTACTAAAGAACTCCAGCAGTCCAAAAGATTACACTTCAGCACGTATTGCACCGCTCCTCTTCGGCAACACGAGGCTTACCGAAGCTCAAAGAACGGAAATTGAGAGCATCCGCATACCCGCAAACGTAAGCACAGTCAGCCTTCATTATTATCAAGGTATACCCTTTCATTCCCATCAACACTGCTTCCCCGTCGACAAGGCGCTCGCGAAAGTACTACGACGAGATAGAGCGTGCATATCTAGGGCTTCAACAAACGCACTCAATCCCGCACAAACTCAGGACTCTCAGCTCAATTTTCCAGCAACCGCTTAGAAACTCATCAAAAGCAGCACATCTCGGCTGTCAAATGCCGAAACTCTCGATGGGAACAAAAATCACCATGACATAGGAAGATACGTTTGGCCCAGAAAGGATATCGAGATTTTTTACCTGACAAGAGGGGAATCGATGCGTTTGGCCTTCTTCAACGCGCTCAATTTGGCCCGAAACAACGCCTTGTTCCTCGCTTGAGCGTCCATCTTCTCGCAGCTACGAAAATCTGCGTGTCGATGATGAAGAGTTTCAACGATTCTCTCTTCGATCGAAGAAACAACCGAACCTATCTCCTACTGCTTCTTCCTTCACGCTTCAACCCGATTTCGCCCTCCATCTTGCTCCCTCTCTTCCCATCTCAGAAGGTCGCTGGTTCATGGAGTTCGGGCCTCAAATTGGGCCTACTCGGGCCTCGTTTGGGCCCGTTTCTGCTGATGGGCTACACCGTTCGAAGAAAGCCTGGGACTTTCTCGCGGCGAAGGGTTCTCTTTCCCTCTTCTCCTGTAGGACTTTAGCTTCGAGAGTTGCAGAAGAATTCTTCCATTGGGAGAGAGACGGAGAGAGAGAAAGAGAAGGGTAAAGAAAAATGGGAGAGAAAGTGAAGCTGGTGATGTTGCTCGGAGGGGGAGCTATACTCGGCTCCGTTTCCACGCTCGTCCTCCTCAAGCTCCTTCCCAGGTGAGCGCAGCGATCATAATTTTCTCAGCAGAAATTTCCCGGAGGAAAAAAAGCTTTCTTTCTCTTACACTTTATCTTGTATCGAGCATGAAGAATTAGACCCTCTTTCTTGAGTTAGCTTTCAGTGCACTGTTCTTTTTTGTATGCCTTGTCCGGCAAATTGGCTCGTGCCGTCCTGAAAGTGATAATCTTTTTCTTTCCCTCTTCCTCCCAGAAGGCGTGGACAGAAGTACATTGAGAAGGATATTAGCTTGCAAGGTGAGTTGCTCAATAGTCGTTCTTTCTCGATGCTGTACGAGGTTGTGTGTCTCATTGGTTGCATGGAGTGTTTGGCTGGGATTGTTTGCTTGTTAGTTACTGTCGTGTGTAAGTGAGGAAGTGTGGTTCTTCAGGGGGTCAGTGTGAGAAGATTCTTGCTTTCTGATCCTACATGTCTCTCCTGTATATAACTTTATGGCGGATCAGGAGCTATCTTCTACCTTATACATGCATGCCGTTCTGACATACTGCGAGCGTCGCTTGATTAATATTTGCTCTATGATTTTGTATTGTTGTTAACTTCCACCAATCAGGCAATGGGCTTACACTTGACACGACGGAGAAAGATTACTCTTCGAATGGAGATCATCAGAGAGCCGATGTAGATCTGCTGAAAGATGAAATAGTTTCCGAACAACTGACCAGGTACTTGGTTTATCTCCTGGGGGATTATAAGTGTTCCATCATACTTGACCCAATAATAATAATAAAATGAAAGACCGAAAATAGTTGTGTTAATATTTTCCTCACGGCTGTTCTTCTCTTGTCTTTTTATGGCTATCACGGATAAATCGTACATGTGTGAATGTCTACGGACGTTAGATCCTTGTCGATGAAATTTAGATGTTCTCCGTTACATGATAGACTATTACTTTTTCTTTGTAAGTTACATGCCATGTTTTGCCCAGCCTAATTTAAATTTTTTTTTATAGTTTTCTCACAAGTGTATACATTCCTCTGGTTGCTTGTTTTTTTATCATATTTCACATACTTTTTAACATCTCCTTAGGAACATCCAGTTCTTTGGCTTGGACTCTCAACAGAAAGTGACGAAATCCTATGTTGTGGTCATTGGCCTCGGAGGAGTTGGTAGTCATGCTGCATCAATGCTTCTGAGATCAGGAGTTGGAAAACTGCTTCTTGTGGATTTTGACCAGGTACTTTCTGTCTATGATTTCTCAGTTTGATAATTGTTCTGTTTAACTTATTGCTGATCATATTCATCTATTACTATGGATTAGAGATGCTTGAGGTCCTTGTGATAAGTAATTTTTAAAAAGACTTGGCAAAAGTGGCAGAGCACCCATTTACTTTTTGTTTCGACCTATATGCTTGAAAATTCATGAACTCGCATCCACTGGATACCTCTACTCATTCACTGATTAAATGAGAAGGTATCACTATCATCACTTAATCGACACGCAGTGGCAACAAGAGCTGATGTTGGTACTCCAAAAGCCCACTGCCTGAAGAAGCATTTCTCATCAATCTTCCCTGAGAGCAATATAGAGGCGAAAGTGCTGCTGTATGATGCATCAACAGAAGAAGAAATCCTTTCGGGCAATCCTGATTTTGTCTTGGACTGCATTGATAACATTGACACTAAGGTACTTTTTTCGGGCTGATATTGCAAAAGTTCAATTTTTGCAAGGTTTGCCCAGAGATGATAGGTCTAGCTGTCTAGATTGTCATTGAAAAACATTCGAGAACCTTTTTCTCAGTAAAAGCAATAGTTTTCTGTTCTTTTCGTCCTTGTCACTCTTTATGCATTATGATGAATTTTCAAAACTTTGCTTTTGTCATATCATAGTTACTTAATTTTGAAAATTTCCCACCATTCAGAAGTGAGAGCATATCCATATTACTTTTCTCCCTTTTATGTCCATTCATGTTTGAGTGACAAGTGCTTAAAGACACTGCCTATCAAAAGTAGTTCATTACTTTCAATAGTTAGTAATTATTGTCTAGTAAGTTTAGAAAAGTCACAAGATTTGCTCTACTTGCTTTATTTTGTTAAGTTTAATATTCAGCCTTGTGAGTAGAGTATATATATGCTTAAATGCTCTGATTTGTCATCCATAGTAGGTTTCTCTTCTTGCTGCATGTGTTCGTAGAGGTGTGAAGGTTCTATCTGCAACCGGAGCTGGTGCTAGAGCTGACCCAACAAGAATTCGCATAGCTGATTTAAGGGAGTCCGCAAATGATCCATTATCTAGAGCTGTAACTCTCTGTCTTGATTCTGGAGCTGCCACATTATGTTTCTGTGCATATATCTCTCTGTTCATTCTTTTCCTTTGTTTATTCTTTCAGCAAAATAGCTAGCAAACAACTGTTAAAAGATCTCATGTTCTATAGCTTATTCTACAACTATCTGCTTGTCCTTCCGATTCTTGTCAATGCCTCTGAAATCTTGTCCCATGCTCTCTCTTGCCATGTTTTCTTTGAATGGAAGATATGTGAAACTTACTTTTTTCTTTTAATTTATTTGATATGTACAACTTCCTGTGATGATTATTGTGTGAAGCAGCTAATTTGCTTTAACCGTTCTTGTTTCCCAAAAATATCTTCATAGTTTCAGTTCTCTTTCCCTAGGTAAGACAACGTTTGAGGAAGGACCATGGCATTGAAGGTGGTATTCCTGTTGTGTTTTCCTTAGAGAAACCTAAGGTGAAGCTGCTTCCATTCAGGGGGCCAAATGGAGAAGAAGAAAATCCTTCAGATTATCAAGTGAGGATATGTTTCTTCTTAATGCTTTTCAAAATAAGTTATCAAGACTCTTTGTTGAAAATTAGATAGGAAAAAGTTGAACCGAACAATTGCAAATAACTTGGTCATAATAGCTTCAGGGTTACCTGTACTACTATGATTGGTTATGTATCTTGACTATACAACCTCATGTGTCCTGATGTCAGATTGTGCCAGGTTTTAGGGTTCGTATAATCCCTGTTCTAGGCACGATTCCTGCAATTTTTGGACAGATAATGGCTTCCTATGTGGTCACACAACTTGCAAGATTTCAAGTTCAAACGGAGCCAGTGGTCAATTTGGATATGGATCATTACAGGATCCTTCATCAACGGCTTATTGAGCATGAGGAGTCACTCTATGGAACAGCTACACATGTCCAGGTGTGGCATTATGGTTCTGACTTCTGAGAATATGCTTGACTATTTGTCAACAGATCAGTTCTATAGTTTGGGCGAGACATATTTTTAGATATTGGCCCGTGACATTGATCTCATCTATTTAATTTACCTACTAGGTTAACTTCTCATCAGATAGCAATATAAAACTGTATTCTACTATACTGATGATATCAGACTCCTTTAAGTTTTCGTTCCTTTTCTTCTCTGTGATTTTCTACATACTCGTGAGAATATCGCGTTTATATGTGTGTGTACCATCAATTTTTTGGTGTGTTTCTTGAAGGTTGATGTTGAAGAAGTGATGTACGTAGTAAAAGAGTTATGGCATGGTCGCAGCGCAAGAGAGCAGATCGCAAAAGATGTAGGACGTGCAATGTGGAGATCTATTAATGAGTTGATGCTTGTGAGGTTAGATAGCTTTGCTAATTCATATTCCAAAAGCTATTAGGATTCAGGGTTCCATTTTTTGCATTCTTTTGCTTTTCATGCAAAGTTTAACCAATTGTGAGCTAGTCCACTTGGATGGGTGCGCTGCCACAGTGCCACTTGCACAAAGTGCCCAATCATGTGCATCTGTTGTGCACTCTTCACATTGAAAAGTTTTAGCTTCCACCTTTCTATGCCGGCACGATTATGAAGTTTATGTTCTTGCAATTTGCGCAGTTTGGATTTATCTGTTAATTTTATACCTCCTGAAATAGCTGCAATATCAACTTAATGACTTCCATACTGATGACCTTTCTATTTTCATTTAACCGAACAACAGATGTCTTAAAGCCAACTTTAATCCTTTTGCAACAGCACTGCATATTCTTTTCCCAATTTCCCGATGTCTGATTATTTTTGTTTGTGTTTCATCTCTCATTTTCAATTATGAAGATGCATTATAGTGGATGGTACAATGCAGCTCATATGAATTTTGCATTTTGTATTTATTTGCTTATTTTTTTGTCTGCTTTGTTCAGGTGGGATCGAGCCCAACCAGCGTCAGTAGACAATTTGATTCTATTAAAATTTACAGAGGTACGCTCGTAACTGTTTGAGATTCTCTGCGAGCTCTGCCTTACTTGCAAGGTCATCATCCTTTCCTAGACATGTTCATGGCTGTCAATTTTACCATCCAATCCTTGTGGTCAGTCCCATGTCCATATTTCCATCTTCCTAGATGGCTTCGTATGTGGTGTCTACTTAGGACAAGAAAAGAAAAACTTGAGGCCAATTTTTCTTATTTTATTTGCTCCACGCAAAGATTGCATGATGGACTACGCCAGCCCCTGTAATCCGCCCCTTAGCCTTACCTGCCCACCCCAAGGCAAGCGTTTTTTTTTTACATGTGAGGTTGTGGTGGTAATCTAAAAGTCTCCTGGGAACGAGATGCTATTTTACACTTTCCCCGATAATTTTGATTTTTCAGCTCCATCTCGTTTAGATTTTTTTGATGATGTGCGGCCTATGCAAGAAAAATATGCTCATTCAGAGCTGAGTTCATTTGATACACTTTCCTGATATTGCAAGGGGTAGTTGTTATGCTGCCGTTTTTGAAGTTTGGATACCGTCTTAGACTGCTTTTTGTCCCAATTTCATGACAAAGCTTTTGCCTTTTAGTCCCCGCCCTGGTAAACTTTGAACATTTGATTGTTACACAGTAGAGAAGAGACTATGGTGAAGGCTGCCCTGTATGAGACACAAGCTTTTTCAAATTAAAACACATCTTATATGGTCTCCTTGTCATTGATACTGGTGTCTAATTTTATTTTCTGTTCCGTTAGGCTGATGAACATGAGCAGAGGACCCTTGACGATATACGAAAAGAGGAACCTGAGTTTTTCACAAGAGCGACATCGGTGCTTCAGAGAGCCAGGGCAGATTTCGGTTTGTAAACTTCCATTTGCACCCTGCTTAATAAGAAGTTGTTGTACAATGTGGTTCTAGCATCACGCTTCACGAATTTTGTTTGGAGTCCTTCCTAGATGTTGAGTCTTTAGTAGAGCTTGGTATTTGACTTCGTGATAACGTGTAGCTTTCCTATCCAGATGCTGCCTCTTTTTCTCATATGCTATTCCTTTCATAGAAAGTTTGAACTCTATTACTGTAAATTGATTTTGTTGCAGACTATATTAGATTCATTAATAGATGTACTTCCGTTGTTTCTGGCCAAAGCTTCATCTTAGACAACGAGACAACAATTCGCATGTGCGGATTGAGTAATGGGTAAATTTGTAGAAAATGAGTCGTACTCGCGAGCTTAGATGTTGGGTAAAAAAAACTGGTTCCGGCCTATACTTGCTACGGAAGTTTAGTACACTCGCAGCACTATGCATGAGATCCTCAGCCAGGTTCAAGACTCATGACGCATTCTTCTCTCTTTTTTGATGTTTTACCTTTGAATTTCACCTATCTTGGCTAATTTTTTTTGATAAACACCACGCTACATTCATGTATAAGGAATCATAATTCAGGGAGTCAGCAGAGTCGCTTCTGCTCAAAACGATCAATAACACTCTTTGGGGCTGGTGGCAAGAAATGCAGCAACCCATGTCTTCACATATGCATGGAGACGAAAAGTTGATCTCCAAGTTATGGTGAATTTCAAAGCTGAGCCTTGGTGATCACGACTGACAATACACAAACTAAAATGAAAGAGGATCAACTCCGAGAAAGCAAGCAATGGCGTAGTTGACAATGATGATTTATGCTACAAGAGTACAGAGTACCATGAAAATAACTATATCACGGGACCTAAACATGATACTTTGTTCGTGACTTTACGTTCCTCGCATTTGCTCTCTTCCGCATCTTTGATTTCGCGAGAGGCGATCATTGTAAGAAGACAACCGCGGTGAACATTCTCTGCAGTGACGATAAGTATCCTCCCGGAGTGCTGTATGGGCAGTCCGTGTTGGAGGTCCTCTTTACCTTAGCGGAACAGTCGCCGGGTGCTAACGAAAGTTATGGTCACCTTCGTGTTTCGAACCGATTCCCCACGGCGACTGTGGTGATTGCATAGTTTGAGCCGGCGGCAAATTGTGGGATCTTTGTCCGGGGAGTTTCGAAGCTCAAGTCGAAACTAGTCCAACTCATCAACCGTAGAGTCGGATTCGAGAAATACTTGTTCACTGAATGGGCAAATGTTTGGTCTCATCTTGAAATGTCACCGGTTACATTACACCTAAAAAAAAAGAAATCCCAAATCGGTACACTCACTTGGTAATATTAACCTAATTTTAAATGATCAAAAGAAGAAAATTAGAGTTAGTTTGATTATGCTCGTCTTTCTTAAGCAAGATTCGGGAAGCCACCTTATTTCGCTTGATCTCTCATCTCCACTTCAGGGATATATGCTTAAGAGTTCTAGTAATTGCTCGATAGTCTCAAAGAAGAATGTTGCACTATCGTCTGAAATTCGAACTCTTTCATGTACTTGCGTTTGACTCGAGATAACCTCTAATAAATTTCTCCAAAATGGTTTCATTCTTCATCTTTAGATCGCCTTTTATGATGGATTGTGCCGACACCGATATAATGATGTTGGTTATATACTTAGTTAAGGTTTTCAATTAGGGGAAAATGTCGAAAATTATCCCTGAAATTATGGAAATTACAAGGCAAATCGAGTACTCCATTGAAATAGAAGAATGATTCTAGCTAAATCGTATGGGGGCGATTTTAATTTTGGAGAGTTTAGGGCCACTGTGCAATTAACCAGAATTGCAAGTGGGAAGGAAGGTCTTTCAGGTTTTCAATTCAGCTAAGCAAATCTTCATCGAGCATCGTTCCTTCGCTGAGTCAAACGCACAAATTCGCCATTGAAATTCTCGAGCGAGCGAGAGAGAGAGAGAGCGCATGGCCTAGGGTTTCTGCCGGACTTCGTCAGCTTCCACCCTCCGTCGCCATGGCCACGAGGCTCCTTTACCTTTTGGCGTTCTTCTCTTTCCATCTCCGTCGCTCCTTCTCCGGTGAATCGCCGTTTTCTTTTATGGCGTTGCGGTCGAATTTGCCAATCCGCGCGCATTCGTAGCTTCCTTCGTTGTTTCATCGGCGCGAATCGACGCCTGATCGTATTGTCGTTTCGATGCAGATGGAGAAGCCAGCTCCATGGAGTCGGTGCCTGATCTGCAGAAGCAAATGTACTCCGTCCTCGACGGATATCCCTGCGTGAGGCTGCTCAACCTGTCGGGAGAGATAGGGTGTGCTAGTAAGTTCATTTTCGCCGGGGCTTTGAATGATTGTTGCTGTGGCTGTGCCGCGATTGTTTTCAGTCGGTTTTGTGAAGGTGGTCCGTTGATTGCTTTTGTATCGTTATGTTTGAAGATCCTGGAAGAGACAAGGTCGTGGCTCCGATCGTGAGATACGGCAACTTAACTCGGCTGACTCGACCTTCGGCGGTTCTGCTATCTGTAGATGAGATCGATGGTTTCTTCAAGAGGCACGTACGCTAACTTCATTTTGTCATTGGTATGCTTTCGATTAGGTAGGGATGGTGGTAGAAAGTAAATCGATCAAGAATAGATGTTGATTACAGGAATATTTATATTGGGAATTTCAAGGTGCTCGACCAGTAACCTCGCTGTACATAACCAGGCCATTGGGCTTATATTTATCTGTTTGGTTTCTGTTTTTAACTGCATGAATGTTTTTAAAGTTTGAGCTGAAGATGAAACAAGAAGTACCGGTGCCCTTTCCTTCTTAGCGTTTCGGCTGACTTATAGCTGTTTGACTTTGACGGCATGGTCTTATAAACTGTCTTAAATTAAGTTTCAATCCAATTGCACCAAAATTTAATTGGGGGAAAGCCGCTAATATCTCACGTTCGTTCTGGGAATCCTGATTCTTATGCTACCTCTTTATGGTAAAATTGGAAAAGAAAAGAAACTACTCCCTCTATTTGGGAGAGAAAACACCTTTTTATGTTCAAGTTCCTGTGCGGAGGGTGCCATTAAGTAGATAACACCGAGGCATGTTGCTGAGGGGGATAGGGGAGCATAAAATCTGAGAAAAAGGGAAAAAATTGACTGACACTGTCTAGTTGAGTGGCTTCCAATCTCCGTTCGTCTCTGATAAGGTTGTCCTGAATAAGATATTCTGATATTTATATGCATAGACTTTATGTTTTATTAGTCTTTTGTCAGAAGTGGAAACCAGAACTGAAGCCAAACCTGTTTATTGTCTGTAGTCCAAGTTTTAATCAGGTCACACAATTGTACAAAAGGGGATGGATCAGGTCTAAGCACAAATGACTTGAACCACTGTGTGCTCCCTCCACTGTTTTTGCCTGGACTAGGTTAAAAGAGTGCAGATCTTAAAACATTACAGAAGAAATTGATTCAGCCTCCATGTAAAGCAGAGAAACCAAATAATGCAATTGTCTAGGTTTCTATATTATCTGTTGAAAGGATTTCTTATGTGCATTTCCTACAGAGGAAGTGACACACATTCTGTGGGAACATCCAGATGTGATATTTGGGCGTTCATCATTGGCTTTTGTTAAGTATGTCCATGAGCTACTACCACTAAATTGCATACTCATCCATTGAACACAGCGGATGCATTAGCGGTTATTTGTTTTCCCACTATATGTTTAACTTTAAAATGAAAAATACGGTGTTTTTGCTACCTCGCTGATATCATGATATCTTTCTAATTCCAGAGTTTCAAATGACTTGGATTTTGCTCAGAATGTTGGAGGTGTTCTTGTCGAATCAGTATCTTCGTCCCAGGAGATATTGGGTAAAGTTTAACTAATTGTTCATCATATATGATGTTTACTTAAATAAGCATATTGAAGGACATTTTACCTAGGTGCTGTTAATGGTGGCATTGTTCATCCCTCATAGGACTCTCTCCAGACCAGAAGTTCCCACAAGCTAAATTCGCGCCCTACCAGAATATCAGCTATGAATGGAACCCTCTGGTATGCTATAAATGGGAATTTAGCAAAGATATGCCGATACTTAAGTTTAGATTACCTTTTTAGGTCTTTACTTTGTCGGTTCAGTCCTGCAAGGTTACCATCTAGTTCTCTCACTTTCATCAACTTATATTATTTTCACTTGTCCTGGCTTTTGATTGGACTTCTTTCTTAATAAGAAATATCCAGCATTGTCAATTAAACATTATCTGGATTGCCAACTTTTGTAAGTGCAAGGCAGTGGGTTTAGTATTGAACTTGTTACAGTTTGTCTACTTTCTACTTGTTTAGTTTGATCAATTGTATTAAAAGCTTAAATGATTTATCACGCGAATCTAAAAAAATGGACTGGAGTGTGGATATATCTCCTAGTGACTATGAATCAATCAACACAAACCTATTCATCATTTATCATAATGCAATAGTGCATTTCAATTTCTATATCACAACAGCATAAGATATTATTTGATAATATAATGATTTAATAATTAGTGCAACACTTGATTTACAAGGACAATGTCTCACGAATATCACTTGAGGTCTTTCATTTAATAAAGAGTTTTCTTAGTCTAGATCGATGTATTTGAATGAAAATTAGTGATCACTTACACTCTCCTGCATTAATTATTTTTCAAAGTTGGGGAATGTGTTTTCAAGAAGCTGAAGCATAAAATTTTTTCCTTTTTTCAGGGATCTGGCATAATGTGGAACTCCTATCAGTTTCCTGTGTTTTTGCTTTCTGCAAGTAGCTCACTGAGTGTTCAGGAGGTAAAACACCCCCCGTTTAAATCTGGAGGCAATCCCTCTGCTAGTAACTTTTAGAATTCATTCAAATGGGTTTTGGGGCTAAAATTTTTGCCAAGTGTAGAGAAAGACGATTCCCATGGTAATCAAAACATGGACATAACTGATTCACTTCATGCAGCTTTCAGCCAGTAATGAGAAGCGCGAGAAAGCTTATACTGCACATGTGGCTGAATTTGATCTTGTGATGCAGGTAAAGGAAGTTTTCTTTCACCTGCATGAGCAGTTCTATCTCTTACTTCCAAAGCTGGAGTTTCTAATTCTTTTTCTTTCCTTTAATGTTTTTTCTGAGTCAGACAACAAAATCTGGGACTCGTGATTCACAGTCTTGTTTAGACGGACAAACTTGTTTACCACTGGGTGGATATAGGTGAGGTTTTCACGGATATTATGTCAGTTGTCGGTTTAATAGGCTTTTCCATCTTTTACTTAAAAAAATGTGAATATGTGCTACTCCGAGGAGGATATCTCCTACTAAAGCTTCCAAGAGTAACCAGTTCAGTGGATCTAACTTATGTTTCCTTATGTTAATTGCTTGATTTTTATGATTTGTCATAGTTTGTGCTTTTTAAACAACTGATCAATAACATTGGGACGGAACTGATCACGTCGTAAAGACGCTTTTTATCAACATGTTTACTGTAGGAACATGTTGTTTATCACCTATTCTTATGAGAAGAGATACCTTCATACCACTTCCATTAGTATTTGACATGCTGTGACTGTAACAATTTTCTGAGATCTCTTTCCTTTTAGTAGCTCGTTGAAGTGCTAACTTGAGATCTCATGGAGGCTTGGAGCATGTTTCTCTTTTGGGTCTCTCATGCAAATACTTGATATCAGTAAAGTTCTACCTTGTTGTCTCCTATTACGGCAGATTTTTAATAATATCTTGCAATTATGAAGGGCAGTGTCTGGTCATCGCTCCCGCCTATTAATGCTTCATATTCAAGCCAATCCAAGGGTGTAATTCTAACTGTCGCATCAATGGATTCTGCCTCTTTTTTTCGTGACAAAAATCTTGGAGCAGAATCCCCTATATCTGTAAGTCTATGCTTTACTGTTCATATCCTCACAGAAAGATTGTAGGTCTCACTGCTTATACCCTCGCTAGAAGAAATATCGGCTATTCTGTTTTCTCGGTTTATGGACAAAATTTTTATTGGAGAATTTTTTTCAGGGACTGATTGCATTGCTGGCAGCTATAGATGCCCTATCTCATGTTGATGGATTGGCTAATTCCAGTAGACAGGTGTGCAAATGATAAGAATCGTCCATAGAGGCTGTTAGACTGTCTATAAATGTCTGGTGCTTATGTCGAATGCCCATGGTTGAAGAGAATCTAATGCCTAAACATCCTTCTGATAGCATTGTCTTTGCAGTTCTTGCTGATCTGTGTAGTATTTCCATATTCCTATTCTTTTTCCCTCTCTGCCTTCCGATTAAGCCTCTGTTTTCTTTAACCTTTGGAGCAATGCGTCTTACCCTTAGATGTGCATAGATGTTCTGGTACTTTGTTTTATGAGGACTTGACAGATTTATGTACTAATTCACTTGTAGAAGTGTGAGTCCATAAACTTTGACAGGTTTTACCTTGTTGCAAATTGATTTGGCCTTTTGGTGCTCATGTGGTTCCTTTAAAGCTGATGTCGTAAGACGTACATGTGTGCACCCATGCATGCGTGCAGGGATGCGTGTGTATTCTCGTGGTTGCCTAGAAATGATGTGCTTACTGTTTCCTATTACATCTTCTGCCTTCAGAATATGCTTTGCACTTTGGTATATCTCTACTCTATGTTGAATTCTGTACTTTCCTGATATTTCTACGTGTAATGCAGCTTGTTTTTCTTTTTTTCACTGGAGAAGGTTGGGGCTACCTTGGCAGCAGGAGATTCTTATATGAGCTTGATTTGCATTCGGACTCTGTCAATGGACTCAATGAGACATCAATTGAGATGGTAATTTCCTAGTTTTGATAAAAATGCATTCCTCAGATCATGTACTTAGTAAGTTCACTAATTTAAACGGGGGTCGTAACCATAATGTAATTGTCAGTTTCTGACAGAAGCTCCTTATGGGTTTTCCTTGATTATTAGATTTGCTGCCAGAAGTGCCTGAATTTGATATGTGATTGTTTTGGGTCTTTTTAGTATTTTCTATAAACATTTCTTTTTCCCCTGGAACATTATTTTCTTCTATTGATGTGATATGTTTTCTCTCATCTTATGCTATCGTCGGCTTGACAAATGCTTGTGCATAGGTCCTGGAAGTTGGATCTGTTGGAAAAGGGGTTGGTCAAGGAGCAAAGAAATTTTTCGCTCACACAGCTGGGGTGAGAGCTTATTGCACACTAAATTCAAATTATATTTATCAATATCTGTTCTGTTGTCAGTTAAAGTGCATTGGACATTTTATTTGTTTCCAGTAGTGTGCCATTGTTTTTGTCAGATTAGATACTTGTCACATGATGTATTGCAGTCTAAATGTTGTATCCAGAGGCCTTTTGCATTGCCCTTCCTTTTCATTTTTTTTTTTTTTTTGGTGTGTGTGTGTTTTGGGGGGGGGGGGGTGGATATGTATTGTATATCCAGTAAAACTTAATTTGTCTGTATTATTTTCTTAAGCGACATTTTATTTGTGAATGTGGTATAACTTATGTACAAAATATCCTCTCAAGCTGTAGAGCTAGGAGTAAGGCCTTCTGTTGGCTACTGAAACCATGTTGTATGCATAGCAAATCATATTTTAGTTGAATGATGACCCCAATCCATATGTGGCAAAAGAGGAATATCATGTGAACAATGGTCCAATTACAACAACTGATATTGATTTACAGACGTCATTTGCTAAACCAGCTTAATGCTTGTCTGGCTTTGTTGACTTGTTTTTAGTCATAATACTCAGTGTTTGTGAATGCAGGCTTCATCTGTCATCAATAAGACACTGAACGCCTTAAAACAAGCTGGAGATTCCTTCTTTTCTGATCAAATCACAATATCCTCGGCAAGTACCGCAAATCCAGGGATACCTCCATCATCTCTTATGGCATTTCTTAGAAAGGTTTGTGAAGTTCTTTTCGTGCAGCTCTGTAAGCTTGAAGTCATTAACGTGCATAAATGTCATCATAGGATGGTATTACACTAACAATTCATTCAGTATGCATGTAAAAGACTTGATTATTTCTCTAAGTTTGGCTGAGCAGGTAAGAGCTGCCTTCTCAACAGGACATTGGTTGCCTCCTGTAGATAACTATCTATTTTTACACAGTTATTGGAGACTTGACGAGGTTAAACTGGTCCATATAGCAGACAAAAAGAAACATTTAAGAGGACAAGGAAAATTCTAGTGGCTATGTTATATTGGAGGAATGAAAGTGACTAAATCTAAGTACCCGGGAAAGTATTTGAGTCAGCAATTTGAAGACATATATGTTTTCCTTTTCCTTAAGCAGAACTCTCAGACATCTGGGGTTATTCTAGAAGATTTTGATACTGCCTTCACCAACAACTTCTACCATAGTCACCTTGATGATTTGTGTAAGTTGACCCTGAATCTTTCTGAGCTTGTATTCTGTTACGTATTTATTGCGAGTCCTATCGAGCATCCACGTATCTCTGGTTGTCTAACTCGTGCTTCAATGCAGCAAATATAAATGCTTCTGCTGTAGCAGATGCCGCTACAATAGTTGCCCGTGCCCTTTATGTTCTAGCCAATGATGATGAAAAAAACTTGAGCAATTCAGCACTGCGTACAGTCAATGTTAATGAATCTCTTGTACAAGAACTTATGGGATGTCTGCTGAGTTGTGAACCGGGTCTATCCTGTGCTTTGGTGAAGAGCTACATTTCACCTAGCACTACTTGCCCAAACCACTATCCGGGTGTTCTGCTTGGAGAACCCTCTTCAACACCAAATCCTGGTAATGTGGATGATACCTCTAGGTTCATATGGAATTTTCTCGCCGACAAAACTTCTATTTGGAGACAGAATGTTAGCTCAGCTTGTTCCCAGAATTGTTCTAATGAAGGTGGAGTTTGCATCAGAGCAGAAAGTGATCAGAAAGGAGTTTGCGTCATCTCTACGACCAGGTAACTTGATAGTAGGATGGTGTGATGAAATAGTAGTACTTAAAGGCATACTATTTGCTTCATTATATGTGAAAATTGGACCAGGCGACATCAGCTATTTAGACTGCTAACCTCCACATGCTAAAGGAAGTCCTGACAAAATTCCATGTGTAACTATGAACTTAGGATGAAGTTGCCCTGTCCCAGGAGTTTACTTCCAAATATGCATCTTCTGGAACATGAAACAATCCTAGCTCACTGTCCTGAAGATGTGGAAATGTTTTGGCTGGGTAATAGAACTGGAGACACGAATGCATGCACCTATGATTACCCTTATCACTGCATTTGCTCCTCTCCTATTAGTTCCACACACATGTATGGAAAAAGACCTATCTTTCACTTCATGTGTGCCTATTTTCATCGGGTCTCTCTAGTTACGACACTCCTTAATAATAATGATAGCCAAAGCTTGTTAAGAACCCTTCTGTTACTAATGCTTGGAGCAGTGGTGAGGCCACTAGTTAATGTTCTCTTGCAATTGACGTGTACTGATATTGTTTGCCTAGATTTTTATGTCTTTATGTTTATGGATGTCAGGTATGTTCCCGCGTATTCAACCCGTCTGAAGTTTGAATCTGGATCTTGGAAAGTGCTCCCTCCAAATTCTTCCGATCCCATGGGAATGGTGGACCCCGTTTGGACAGAGAGCAACTGGGATGCGATCGGTCTTCGTGTATATACTGTCCAGGACTCAATTTATGACCATTTTGTTCTATTGGGGGGCATTTCCATTACAGTTTTAGCCTACGTCGCCATAGTAACTACAAGAACCTTCATCACGAAAACCTTGAAGCGGGACTGACAATTTGAGTCTTTTAAGAGTTCTTAGGTTTAATACCAACTGTGGAGGATTTACGGGTCGAACTATTGATGACTGATGAGGATGTTGCATTATTAAAGATGCATCCTCGCTTGCTTTGGATCTCTGGAAGTGGATGGTGAATGGTTCGACGAGAGGCAAGCAATGATACTCCGATTTGAAAGCTCCAACCTGTACATCTCCTGCATATGTTTTCTCTTACTTCCTTACTTGTTGTAGCTATCTCCTCCCTCTTGCATTATTCACTTTCCAGGCACGTCAAATGAGCACCTAGTTTTATGTTCTCGTCCATACTAATCAGAAATGCTGCAAATATAGGTATGTAATTTAGTCCAGATTGGGGGGCCGCTCGCGTACTCGCTAATTCAAATCTCATCTCCTCCTTTGGGGGGAATAACCAACTTGGTTTCGGGGACTCTTATCGCGAAGGAACACTTAATAAGTCCGAGATCATTCGATTTGCTTTCAGTAGATGAAAGCGTACCAGGAAAGAGCAAACAAAACTCGGGAGCTGCAGATGCACGGATTCATCCATACGCAGGTCCTCGGAATCATAGACTGTCGAGCAACCGTGCCCTGCTCGTGCATTTGCGATGAAGGCATGAAACGGGGCCGTTTTTTCAAAGTCCAATCCGGAGTTTCAAAGTGGCCAACTTCGTGACCCGAGCTTTCCGGCCCGCAAGAAAGTGCGACTTTCCACGGCAAGCTACAAAAAATCAGTCTCGAGTCCCTAAAGATTGATTTATTCGAGTGATTTGCCATACAATGAAACGGTTTACGACGAAATGGATTTAACGACGCAAGTGACGGTGTTCGCGACACTCGAACAAAAAATGACTGAGAAACTAAAGAAGAGCGAGCGAGGGGATTTGGGACGGAGCGAAGGAGCCTTCTTCACTGAGGCGGGCGGCACGCGGACTGCACTTTGGATTCCAACTGGGACACGTACTTGTCGAGCATGGAGATCACGGACTCGAAGTGCGCCACCTGATCCTCGATCGCCTCGATCTGCCGCACGTACTCGTCGAAGCTCCCGCTCTTGGACTTGAGCTGCTCCACGAACACCCTCAGCCCCGACGCCACGTCGCCGAACTCCTTGTACTCCTCGCCCACCCTCAGGTTCATCTTCTCCAGCAGCTCCAGGTGATTGTTCGCGCCCTATGAACAGCGGCCCCCCGATCATCGACGCAAAGCCGGACATCCATCCCGAGCAATCAGATCAGAGAACCCCCACCCGATCGCAGAGGAATTCGAGATGGAAAAATGAAGGGGGAAGGGGATTGAAGGAGCACCTGGAGCTCGGATTTGACCATGGTGGATAGGTTGAGGAAGAGATCGTTGAGCGACTCGGCGAGCGCGTCTCGTTCCGTCGCCATTCGCCTTCTTCTTCGTCGTTCGCTTTGGATCGTCCCAACCCACTGGCGCTTCGACGAGAAACGGAAAAGCTTCTGTTCATCCGAGCGAACCACTGCAGTAACATGCCATCACAATTTCGGTAGAACTAGAGGCCCAGCCCATATGTGATGACATATTTCAAGGATTAATTCCATGAAAAACCTAAAACTGGTACTTTGGTGATAAATTTATCTTAAATTAATTTTTTGATCACCAAAAAGCCTAAATTATAAATTGATTGCTCTCGTTTTATTGGAATCGAATTATCTCAAATAAATTATAATTGACTAGGGTTTCGAGACACTCACTTTAAATACAGTTTATATGATAATAGACCGTGAGGGTACTATGGATATCTCATCGTTGTTCCTTTGTTTTAAGGATGTAAAAATATTAGGGAAAATAGCATAAATGATTCATGAACTTTAGCCCATGAACTATAACCTAATATTTAATGTGGTAATTTTCAATTTGTTGAATGTGGTCCATGGACTTTTCGTACATGTTTGTCCATGAACCACATTGAACAAATTGAAAGTTTGGAGATCACATTGGTTATTGGGCTATAGTTCATGGGTCACATTGAACAAATTAAAAGTTCATGGACCACATTACACATTGAGATAAAATTTAGGACCATTTGCTGCATTATCCCCAAAAAAACTAAACATGAGTCATCACCTAACCTAAAGTGCGACCGAGCTATCGCGGGCCTATTTCGTGGATGATGGTTAGCAATTCTGGTGGTGGTCTTCTTCTTTTTTTCCTTTTGTTTTTTGCCGCACTAGCTTGATTTTCTTATTTCTTGGGAAAATTCCAAATAATGACCCAAAGTGCACTCATTTTCTCAAATAAGGACATGAGGTGGACTTTGTGTCAAAAAAAGATATGAAGTGCTCTTATTTTCTCAAATAAGGATCTAAAGTAGTTATAACAGTTTCAAATAAAGGCCTCACCCCGCCGGCCGGCCAAATTTTCCAGCCGACCAAGGGCATTTTTGTCCAAAAATAATTTTAACATATAATTTTAGTTAAATTATATTTAAAATTGAGAAAAATTAAAAAAGAAAAAAACAGGGGAGGGATGGTAGGGCTCGCAGCCAGCCCTCCCCGCCGATGGCTGCCGCCCCATCGCCGGTGGGGCGGCGGCGATGGCTAGTGGGGTCACCGGCGCTTCAGCGAGGGTTGGCGACCCTCTCCCAGATTTGGGTGGGAGTCGCCAGAACTCGCCCCGGTCTAGGCGAGGGTCGCTAGCCCTCGTCCAAGTCTGGGAGAGGGCCGCTAGACCTGTGTGAGGGCCGGAAACCCTCGCCTAGAATGAGGCGAGGTCCGGCGACCCCCACCCAGATCTAGGAGAGGGTCGCCGCCCTCTCCCGGCTTTGCTGGCCCTCGCTGAGGCGTTGGCAACCCCGCCGGCCATCGTTGTCGTCTCACCAGCGATGGGGCGGCAGAATCGGCGGGGAGAGCCCTCCCCTTGTTTTTTTTTTATTTTTAACTTTAGCTTTTTTTTCGTTTTTGAGTTTGTTTTCTATGGAAAAAACAATAAAAGGAAATAAATCAAAAAATAAAAAACGAAAATGCCATTGATTCCGGTGAGGTCAGACCTTTTTTGAGATTGAGATAACCACTTCAGACCCTTATTTGAGACAAGGTATATTTCATGTCCTTATTTGTGTAAAATTAGGATGCTTCGGGTCCTTATTTAATACATAATTCACTTCAGACCCTTAGTTGAGAAAACGAGGGCGCTTCGGGTTATTATTTGGAATTTTCCGTATTTCTTTAATCAGTGAGCGGAAGTTGTATTCATACTCCTCCTCCTAACGATGGTCAGAAGTTCTCTGAGGGTTGTTCTCTGCGCTGACTGCTCCTGCTCTCACTTCACCTCCTCAGCTATTCGACTCTCAAAGGTAAAGTCAAAAAGATGATCGTTCCCATCTCATCCGTCCTCTCTTCCTTTATTCACGCGATCCATGTGCGAGATTACACCGCAGATCATTTTTGCTTGTTGCTTGCTTCAGCAGAGCATAGATTCCCCTGCTTCTTAAGGGGGGCAGATGGGGTTCTCATTCTGACCCGGCTCTTACTTTCTTGGTCTTTTATGTTTTTTTTTTCCCTTTGAATTCATCACGTACTCGTGCCCGTTCTATCTTTGTGGCAGTGAGCAACTTGTCAACTATGGCTTCTTCTTGCACGTGTATTTGATTGGAATTATGATATGATATGCCCATTTGTAAAGCATCATGTACTTTAATGGGTAGAATCAGTTCTTGCTGAGAGGGCCTCAATAGATGCGACCAGTTTTTAGTAATCAAAGAGTCCTTGAAAGTTATCTCGAGTTTATGGAATTGAAGTTTAGGATAGATATATCATATCTGAGCGAGACTGTCACTGCATGCGTGGATGTGAATTCAGAGGTTCAATTCCCCCTCAAGTTTTTCCACACCATTACCAAGTCAATTGGAAACGATAACAGAATGTATAGGTACTTCGGCTATTGTTGTTCTGAAATTAAGAAATCTGCAATGTGCTATCGGAGTGGAAGTGTTGCAGACTATCTCAACGCCAAGAAATTACAATCATCAAGCGGACCCATGCGTTTTGAGTTCTTCGGTCCTCACAATTTTTTTGTACGCATTCCCTTCGCTCATATTTGCATTTGATCACACTGTTACTGATGTCCACTTTAGTCTTTCCATGACATAGCTTCAGATTAGGAGGTGACTCCTTGCTGAAATTCTACTTTGTTCTTAGATTGTTTATTATGGTTTAGCCTAGCCTAGTAATCTGCAACCATTAACTGAAATCCTTTTCTCTGAGGCAAAAGCATAACCTCCTACACACACTTCTCCATGATTGGTGGAACGAGTGCATTATGCATTTTCCTCTTGGATGTGTATCATGAGTTCTCGAGCTCTTAATCTTTATGAGTCATGTAAGGTAATGAATTGTGTGGCTGGATAAACGTGCAAAAATTTCTTGATGTTTTTGACACGAGACTTTTCTAGACGGTCGCCAGGATCTTAACACAGCTTTATCATGTGAGGACTGTCTTTGCATATGCCAAAATGGTTCTTCCCCGTGATACCCCCCTTTATCTCTTGTTTCTGTAATGAGATGCTACTTCCTTTCCTATCGAGCATTTATAAATCAAATTGCAACTTATCGTTATATATTGACTGCAGTGAAGATCGACCTAGATCCTTGCATCTGCCCATCGCACCTCCCGTGAATTAGAACGTGTGGTTATGGAATCTGAGCTGCTACTTCATAGCGGTGGATGCCATTGCAGGAGAGTACGGTGGGAAGTCGAAGCGCCGACTAGCGTAGTTGTTTGGAAATGCGATTGTTCAAATTGCTCCATGAGAGGCAATATCCACTTCATTGTTCCTTCTGAACGATTCAAACTTTTGGGAAATTCAGACCAATACCTGACAACCTACACTTTCGGCACTGACACGGCAAAGCATACTTTTTGCAAAGTTTGCGGGATAACGTCGTTTTACAGGCCAAGATCAAATCCAGATGGAATCGCCGTTACTTATAGGTGCGTGGACCCTGGTACTCTGGCTCATGTCGAGATCAAGCAATATGATGGGAAGAACTGGGAAAGCTCATATGATGCGACTGGCATTTCTTCATATTCTAAAGTGGATACAGAAAAGGCAAAACTTGGTTCCAGCTGAAAATTGTTCTGATGCTGCTAATGTCGAGTATATATACTCCGTAGCTCTGAGTAGTCTGTGCGTTTTAACACAGGCATGAGGTTCCAAATGTGTACTATTATGTAATACTTTGGTTGGTTGACAGTGAATCATACATGGGAGGCCGTTGAGGTGAATACTTTATAATTTCCTTCGGAACAAGATATTTGACAAGGTATTTCATGGAAGTCTAATTTCCTTTCCAAATGGTTGAGACATTCAGACCCACTTGAAACTGAGACTGGAGAAAGACTAGGACTAAATCTTGCAGAGAGTTGCAAAACGATTCTGCTTGAATCCGTGCTGGAACTTACTCATTTGACAATTGATATTGATATTGGTGCAATGTTCTTTCTAGATGTTTACTGGAGTAACTGCTGTTCTCAAATTGTGGCACATCTCGCCAGATGTACAACTTGCAATGTCCTTGCATGTAAATATTATGAAGGGTAGGAAATGCGACTACTTAGATTTTCATGTCTAAGTGTGTCAAGTATCGCAAAGTATTGTGAATGGAAGATGAAATTTGGTGAAGATCTCTCGGTTTCTTGTTAGTCCGTTTGCCGTTTGGGACAGGCCGAGACATGACCATTGAAGTTGCAGCCAGAGGACAACAGGAGGTTTCTGCTGCAAACAGACTCAAACAAATGCACTTGGCAAATTTAATTATGAATTTCTCTGTCTCCAGCCTCTTTTTTTTTTTTTGGATTAGGATCTCTTTGTTATGTTTTAATTACCTAATACAGGCGTAAACTCCTATATTCGAGTTAAAATCTTATGAAGTTACAGGCCGTCTTTAGTGGATACCACTGCCTAACCTTTCACTTTTGATAATCGCAGGTTTCATTGACTAGCCCAAAGAGTGAACTTGAGTCTTGAAGCAGCCACAATGTCTTCGAGGCCCCAGAAGCATTAGTATCCCAAGAAAATGAACCATACTAAAATGACAACAACAATTTCATCTAAAAATCTGAGAACTACCTTTCTTAGTTAATTTTCAGGTTCCACAGGCAATTGACTAAGCCACTCCTCGAAAAAGTATAGCTGATCCCCTGATATTACATCGCCAAGCTGCTTTGAAGGGGCAAATGGAATGAAAAAAACCAGTTTATGTGGTCTGATGATTCAAAAACTGGAACAGAGAAGATACAAGATGGAACAGCCAAAAAGCTGTCAAAATCCACCACCATCATTAGAATTAGAACTTCCATCTAAAGCCTGAATCTGCTCATGATGATCAGTCCATCAAATGCGCGAGTCTCTCGTCATCCAACAAAAGTTTCCGTAAACACTTTGATCCGTAGGAGACTTCAGCACACGAGTCTGCAATAAAGTGGACTAAGCTTGTAATAACACCACTATCATCACCAAATTCTAGAGGAGAACCAACAACGCAACTTTGAAGATGAGCTCCAACAAGAAACTGATTCTGATTAGGCAAGCCACATTCAATGGGAACCAATAATATTTAAGCATAGTAAAGCATCATGAAGTTCATTGTAGATGTTTTCAAAGTCATTGCCCTAACAACCCCTAAAGCACAAAGAGCATGCAGACTGATACACATAGTATATCCATGGCTATCAACTGATAATACTCCGTGTGATAACGTGATGACTTGAACATGGGTCAACGTGGATTCTGAATGTTATTAATGGAATACGAACTCGACAGAGGACAACATATAAGTTCAAAGTAATCTTTCTTTTCATATTGTTCTCAAACCAATGTATGATAACCTCATTGATGGTTTTTACAGCTTGAGCTCTCCAAATTCAAACGTAACGCTACATTACCAAGCAAGAACATTATAGCCTGAAGATATGGCTCCCGTAAGGACAAGACCCTCCAAATTATCTACAAAATCAACTTGAATCGGTGGATAAAACAATAGGACACAAGCAGGCCCAATTTTTCCACCATAACAGGAATAAAAATCCTATAAATCACATGTATGGTTTTAACATACAGACAAAAAGATTTGAAGTAAGAGAAATTTCATACCGAGACATCCTATATTTGATTGCTATGCAAGCAAATTCAGAGTGACCTGTTTCGCCTACACCATGTGTGCACTCATTCAATCAAATGTCATCATTTCCTATGCATGGTTCAAAACCGCAATTGAGGAAATAGCTGATAAGGGTCTTACCCATAAAAATTGCTCTCAGATTAAGTGATATGGAGCAACATGATGCCTTCACTTCTAACCAAACTTGCACTGGTATATTACAGCACCATCGGGGCAATAACAGCAGAGCAGACTGCATCCCACCCAGTCTTTGTGCCTCGAGCAACTAGACCGTGTTTTTCGATTTTTTTAACTTAACCGATCTATTTCATCGGGAAGATCAATTGCATCCTTGATCTGTGGAGCAGCTGACATTCTGATGCTTTTATAAGACAGGGAGGCAGGAATTCACTGCACATCAAAGTCCATTATTGACATAATGAGAGGATTTCCATTTTCTTCAATCAAGAATGGGCACGAGCTTTTGATTATTATTGCTGAACCAGCTTTGCATTTATCCAGAGCTTTAGAAAAAGCTGGGCTCGATACAACAAAGTATTTGGCTGTCTATTCTGTTTTGCCCGTTGAACAAAGAGATCAAACATAGTTTAGAGAAGTTGCAGTCATCCATTTCAGGGAGATTTTGAAGCTTTAGTCAATTCATTAACCAATGAAGTATACGAGGCATAATCTTGAATAAGCCATTTATTTTATTTTACTTTAAAATTTGCAAAGTTTCCATGCTTGCAATACCCATCCAACAAAATGTTGTAGGTAATGTCATCTGGAACCACACCCAAATTCATCATTGCATCTAAGAGCATCTTGGCATTTTTCATCTGACCTTGTTTACATAGTCCATTCATAATGCACTTTGGATTCCAACTGGGACACGTACTTGTCGAGCATGGAGACCACGGACTCGAAGTGCGTCACCTGATCCTCGATCGCCTCGATCTGCCGCACGTACTCGTCGAAGCTCCCGCTCTTGGACTTGAGCTGCTCCACGAACACCCTCAGCCCCGACGCCACGTCGCCGAACTCCTTGTACTCCTCACCCACCCTCAGGTTCATCTTCTCCAGCAGCTCCAGATGATTGTTCGCGCCCTATGAACCGTCCCCCGATCATCGACGCAAAGCCAGACATCCATCCCGAACAATCAGATCAGAGAACCCCCACCCGATCGCAGAGGAATTCGAGATGGAAAAATGAAGGGGGAAGGGGATTGAAGGAGCACCTGGAGCTCGGATTTGACCATGGTGGATAGGTTGAGGAAGAGATCGTTGAGCGACTCGGCGAGCGCGTCTCGTTCCATCGCCATTCGCCTTCTTCTTCGTCGTTCGCTTTGGATCGTCCCAACCCACTGGCGCTTCGACGAGAAACGGAAAAGCTTCTGTTCATCCGAGCGAGCCGCTGCAGTAACATGCCATCACAATTTCGGTAGAACTAGAGGCCCAGCCCATATGTGATGATATATATTCTAAGGATTAATTCCGCGAAAAACTCAAAACTGATACTTTCGTAATAAATTTACCCCAAAATTAATTTTTTGATCATCAAAAATCTCAAATTATAAATTGATTGCTCTCATTTTATTGGAATCGAATTTTCCCGAATAAATTATAATTGACTAGGGTTTTGAGACACTCACTTTAAATATAGTTTATATGATAATAGACTGTGACGATACTATGGATATCTCATAGTTGTTCTTTTGTTTTAAGGATGTAAATAAACTAGGGAAAATGGCATAAATGATTCCTAAACTTTGACCCATGAATTATAGCCTAATATTTAATGTGGTAACTTTCAATTTGTTCAATGTGATCCATGGATTTTTCGTACATGTTTGTCCATGGACCTCATTGAACAAATTGAAAGTTCGGGAATCATATTAGTCATTAGGCTATAGTTCCTGGGTCACATTGAACAAATTAAAAGTTCATGGATCACATTACACATTAAGATAAAATTCAGGACCATTTGCTGCATTATCCCCAAAAAAACTAAACATGAGTCATCACCTAACTTAAAGTGCGACCGAGCTATCGCGGGCCTATTTCGTGGATGATGGTCAGCAGTTCTGGTGGCGGTCTTCTTCTTTTTTTTCTTTTGTTTTTTGCCGCACTAGCTTGATTTTCTTATTTCTTGGGAAAATTCCAAATAAGGACCCAAAGTGCACTCATTTTATCAAATAAGGACCTGAGGTGAACTTTGTGTCAAAAAAAGGTATGAAGTGCTCTTATTTTCTCAAATAAGGATTTAAAGTAGTTATAATAGTTTCAAATAAAAACCTCACCCCGCCGGCTTGCCGGCCGGCCAAATTTTCCGGCCGACCAAGGACATTTTTGTCCAAAAACAATTTTAACATGTAATTTTAGTTAAATTAAATTTAAAATTAAGAAAAATTAAAAAAGAAAAAAACAGGGGAGGGATGGCAGAGCTGGCAGCCAGCCCTCCCCGCCGGTGGCCGCCGCCCCATCGCTGGTGGGGCGGCGGCGATAGCTAGTGGGGTCACCGGCGCTTCAGCGAGGGTTGGCGACCCTCTCCCAAATTTGGGTGGGAGTCGCCAGAACTCGCTTCGGTCTAGGCGAGGGTCGCTGGCCCTCGTCCAAGTCTAGGAGAGGGCCGCTAGACCTGTGTGAGGGCCGGAAACCCTCTCCCAGAATGAGGCGAGGTCCGGCGACCCCCGCCCAGATCTAGGAGAGGGTCGCCACCCTCTCCCGGCTCTACTGGCCCTCGCTAAGGCACTGGCAACCCCGCTGGCCATCGTTGTCGCCTCGCCAGTGATGGGGCGGCAGAATCGGCGAGGAGGGCCCTCCCCTTATTGTTTTTTTTTTCTTTAACTTAAGCTTTTTTTTGTTTTTGAGTTTGTTTTCTATGGAAAAAAAATAAAAGGAAATAAATCAAAAAATAAAAAACGAAAATGCCATTGACTCCGGTGAGGTTAGACTTTTTTTAGACTGAGATGACCACTTCAGACCCTTATTTGAGACAAGGTATACTTCATGTCCTTATTTGTGTAAAATTAGGATGCTTCGGATCCTTATTTAATACATAATTCACTTCATACCCTTATTTGATAAAATCAGAGGGCTTCGAGTTATTTTTTGGAATTTTCCGTATTTCTTTAATCAGTGAGCGGAAGTTGTATTCATACTTCTCCTCCTAATGATGGCCAGAAGTTCTCTTTGAGGGTTGTTCTCTGCGCTGGCTGCTCCTGCTCTCACTTCACCACCTCAGCTATTCGACTCTCAAAGGTAAAGGAAAAAAGATGATCTTTCGCATCTCATCCGTCTTCTCTTCCTTTATTCACGAGACCCATGTGCGAGATTACACCGCAGATCATTTTTGCTTGTTGCTTGCTTCAGCAGAGCATAGATTCCCCTGCTTCTTAAGGGGGGCAGATGGGGTTCTCATTCTGACCCGGCTCTTACTTTCTTGGTCTTTTATGTTTTTTTTTTCCCTTTGAATTCATCACGTACTCGTGCCCGTTCTATCTTTGTGGCAGTGACCAACTAGGCAACTATGGCTTCTTCTTGCGTGTGTATTTGATTGGGATTATGATATGATGTGCCCATTTGTAAAGCATCATGTACTTTAATGGGTAGAATCAGTTCTTATTGAGAGGGCCTCAAGAGATGCAACCAGCTTTTAGTAATCAAAGAGTCCTTGAAAGTTATCTCGAGTTTATGGAATTGAAGTTTAGGATAGATATATCATATCTGAGCGAGACTGTCACTGCATGCGTGGATGTGAATTCAGAGGTTCAATTCCCCCTCAAGTTTTTCCACACCATTACCAATTCAATTGGAAACGATAACAGAATGTATAGGTACTTCGGCTATTGTTGTTCTGAAATTAAGAAATCTGCAATGTGCTATCGGAGTGGAAGTGTTGCAGACTATCTCAACGCCAAGAAATTACAATCATCAAGCGGACCCATGCGTTTTGAGTTCTTCGGTCCTCACAATTTTTTTGTACGCATTCCCTTCGCTCATATTTGCATTTGATCACACTGTTACTGCTGTCCACTTTAGTCTTTCCATGACATAGCTTCAGATTAGGAGGTGACTCCTTGCTGAAATTCTACTTTGTTCTTAGATTGTTTATTATGGTTTAGCCTAGCCTAGTAATCTGCAACCATTAACTGAAACCCTTTGCTCTGAGGCAAAAGCATAACCTCCTACACATACACTTCTCTATGATTGGTGGAACGAGTGCATTATGGATTTTCCTCTTGGATGTGTTTCTTGAGTTTTCCAGCTCTTAATCTTTATGAGTCATGTAAGGTAATGAATTGTGTGGCTGGATAAACGTGCAAAAATTTCTTGATGTTTTTGACACGAGACTTTTCTAGACGGTCGCCGGGATCTTAACACAGCTTTATCATGTGAGGACTGTCTTTGCATATGCCAAAATGGTTCTTCCCCGTGATACCTCCCTTTTATCTCTTGTTTCTGTAATGAGATGCTACTTCCTTTCCTATTGAGCATTTATAAATCAAATTGCAACTTATCGTTATATATTGACTGCAATGAAGATCGACCTAGATCCTTGCATCTGCCCATCGCACCTCCCGTGAATTAGAACGTGTGGTTATGGAATCTGAGCTGCTACTTCATAGCGGTGGATGCCATTGCAGGAGAGTACGGTGGGAAGTCGAAGCGCCGACTAGCGTAGTTGTTTGGAAATGCGATTGTTCAAATTGCTCCATGAGAGGCAATATCCACTTCATTGTTCCTTCTGGACGATTCAAACTTTTGGGAAATTCAGACCAATACCTGACAACCTACACTTTCGGCACTGACACGGCAAAGCATACTTTTTGCAAAGTTTGCGGGATAACGTCGTTTTACAGGCCAAGATCAAATCCAGATGGAATCGCCGTTACTTATAGGTGCGTGGACCCTGGTACTCTGGCTCATGTCGAGATCAAGCAATATGATGGGAAGAACTGGGAAAGCTCATATGATGCGACGGGCATTTCTTCATATTCTAAAGTGGATACAGAAAAGGCAAAACTTGGTTCCAGCTGAAAATTGTTCTGATGCTGCTAATGTCGAGTATATATACTCCGTAGCTCTGAGTAGTCTGTGCGTTTTAACACAGGCATGAGGTTCCAAATGTGTACTATTATGTAATACTTTGGTTGGTTGACAGTGAATCACACATGGGAGGCCGTTGAGGTGAATACTTTATAATTTCCTTCGGAACAAGATATTTGACAAGGTATTTCATTGAAGTCTAATTTCCTTTCCAAATGGTTGAGACATTCAGACCCACTTGAAACTGAGACTGGAGAAAGACTAGGACTAAATCTTGCAGAGAGTTGCAAAACGATTCTGCTTGAATCCGTGCTGGAACTTACTCATTTGACAATTGATATTGATATTGGTGCAATGTTCTTTCTAGATGTTTACTGGAGTAACTGCTGTTCTCAAATTGTGGCACATCTCGCCAGATGTACAACTTGCAATGTCCTTGCATGTAAATATTATGAAGGGTAGGAAATGCGACTACTTAGATTTTCATGTCTAAGTGTGTCAAGTATCGCAAAGTATTGTGAATGGAAGATGAAATTCGGTGAAGATCTCTCGGTTTCTTGTTAGTCCGTTTGCCGTTTGGGACAGGCAGAGACATGACCATTGAAGTTGCAGCCAGAGGACAACAGGAGGTTTCTGCTGCAAACAGACTCAAACAAATGCACTTGGCAAATTTAATTATGAATTTCTCTGTCTCCAGCCTTTTTTTTTTTTTTGGATTAGGGTCTCTTTGTTATGTTTTAATTACCTAATACAGGCGTAAACTCCTATATTCGAGTTAAAATCTTATGAAGTTACAGGCCGTCTTTAGTGGATACCACTGCCTAACCTTTCACTTTTGATAATCGCAGGTTTCATTGACTAGCCCAAAGAGTGAACTTGAGTCTTGAAGCAGCCACAGTGTCCTCGAGGCCCCAGAAGCATTAGTATCCCAAGAAAATGAACTATACTAGAATGACAACAACAATTTCATCTAAAAATCTGAGAACTACCTTTCTTAGTTAATTTTCAGGTTCCACAGGCAATTGACTAAGCCACTCCTCGAAAAAGTATAGCTGATCCCCTGATATTACATCGCCAAGCTGCTTTGAGGGGGCCAATGGAATGAAAAAAACCAGTTTATGTAGTCTGATGATTCAAGAACTGGAACAGAGAAGATACAAGATGGAACAGCCAAAAAGCTGTCAAAATCCACCACCATCGTTAGAATTAGAACTTCCATCTAAAGCCTGAATTTGCTCATGATGATCAGTCCATCAAATGCGCGAGTCTCTCGTCATCAAACAAAAGTTTCCGTAAACGCTTTGATCCGTAGCAGACTTCAGCACATGAGTCTGCAATTAAGTGGACTAAGCTTGAAATAACACCACTATCATCACCAAATTCTAGAGGAGAACCAACAATGCAACTTTGAAGATGAGCTCCAACAAGAAACTGATTCTGATTATGCAAGCCATATTTAATGGGAACCAACAATATTTAAGCATAGTAAAAGCATCATGAAGTTCATTGTAGATGTTTTCAAAGTCATTGCCCTGACAACCCCTAAAGCACAAAGAGCATGCAGACTGATACACAGTATATCCATGGCTATCAACTGATAATACTTCATGTGATAACGTGATGACTTGAACATGGGTCAACGTGGATTCTGAATGTTATTAATGGAATACGAACTCGATAGAGGACAACATATAAGTTCAAAGTAATCTTTCTTTTCATATTGTTCTCAAACCAATGTATGATAACCTCATTGATGGTTTTTACAGCTTGAGCTCTCCAAATTCAAACGTAAAGCTAGATTACCAAGCAAGAACATTATGGCCTGAAGATACGGCTCCTGTAGGGACAAGACCCTCCAAATTATCTACAAATTCAACTTCAATCGGTGGATAAAACAATAGGAAACAAGCAGGCCCAATTTTTCCACCATAACAGGAATAAAAATTCTATAAATCACATGTATGGTTTTAACATAAAGAAAAAAAGATTTGAAGTAAGAGAAATTTCATACCGAGACATCCTATATTTGATTGCTATGCAAGCAAATTAAGAGTGACCTGTTTCGCCTACACCATGTGTGCACTCATTCAATCAAATGTCATCATTTCCTATGCATGGTTCTAAACCACAATTGAGGAAACCTCTGATAAGGGTCTTAACCATAACAATTGCTCTCAGATAAAGTGATATGGAGCAACATGATGCCTTCACTTCTAATCAAACTTGCACTGGTATATTACAGCACCATCGGGGCAATAACAGCAGAGCAGACTGCATCCCAGCCAGTCTTTGTGCCTCGAGCAACTAGACCATGTTTTCGATTTTTTTAACTTAACCGATCTATTTCATCAGGAAGATCAAATTGCACCCTTGATCTGTCGAGCAGCTGACATTCTGATGCTTTTATAAGACAGGGAGGCAGGAATTCACTGCGCATCAAAGTCCATTATAGACATAATGAGAGGATTTCCATTTTCGTCAATCAAGAATAGGCACGGGCACGAGCTTTTGATTATTATTGCTGAACCACCTTCGCGTTTATCCAGAGCTTTAGAAAAAGCTGGGCTCGATACAACAAATTAGTTGGCTGTCTATTCTGTTTTGCCCATTGAACAAAGAGATCAAACATAGTTTAGAGAAGTTGCAGTCATCCATTTCGGGGAGATTTTGAAGCTTTAGTCAATTCGCTAACCAATGAAGTATACGAGGCATAATCTTGAACAAGCCCTTTTTCATCTCTTATTTTACCAAAATTTACAAAGTTTCCATGCTTGCAATGCCCATCCAACAAAATGTTGTAGGTAATGTCATCTGGAACCACACCCAAATTCATCATTGCATCTAAGAGCATCTTGGCATTTTTCATCTGACCTTGTTTACATAGTCCATTCATAAGCACGTTGTACGTCACAACACCTGGTATATGCCCATCGCTTTGCATTTCCTTAAGCAATTTAAAGCCCATCTTTGTATCACCCTTCTTACAAAATCCATCCATGATCATAGTGTATGTTGCGTCATCTGGTCTAATTCCCACCTTTAACATCTCTCTCAGTACTCTTTCCGCATCTACAGTGCGTCCAGCCTTGCAAAGGCCTGATATTAAAGCCGTAAATGCAACGTTATCAAGCTCAATTCCCCTCTCAACCATTTCCTTCCTAATATCTAAAGCAGATTCTATGTCTCCCTCGTTGCATATTCCATCAATGAGCGTAGTGTAGGTGATCTTGTCAGGATTAAATCCTATCGTTTTCATTTCTTCCACAAGCTTCCTTGCTTCTTTTAAGGCTCCCACCCTACAATGGCCATTGATGAGTGTGTTATATGTAACCAAATCAGGTCTTACACCAGTGCTCAACATTTGTTGATAAATATCTGTAGCGATATCGATCCTCCCATTCTTGCCCTGCCAGTCAATTAAGGTAGTGAAAATAACATCATTTGGAACAATACCTCTCTCGGACATTTCCTTCAACAAGAGATTCGCATCCTCTATCCTGCTCTCCTTACACAAGCCATTTATCAGAGTGCTGTAAGTGAACACATCGGCCTGAAATCCACTCTTCTCCATGACTCTCTTTAACCCAAACCCCTCCTCTAAATTGCCAACCTTACAATAGCCACCGATCAATGTATTGAAACTGACGATACTAGGGGCCAAACCCCGCTTCGGTATCTCATCAAACAATAGCCGTGCAGACTTAACTTTACCCACTTTACAAAACCTGCTCATTAAATTGTTAAAACTATAGATATTAGCAGGGTAACCAGCATCCAAAATCTCCATATAAAACCCCCAAGCCGCCTCGGGCGAGCTATTTTTCAACATTCTATGGAGCAAATGCCCACACCCACGAAATGGGACAGGAAAATTACGCTTCCTCATCAGCCTAAAGCACTGAATCGCATCGGGCACGCAATTGGCGTCCGCATAAGCGATGATCAGAGCATCAAACACGAAAACGGATTGATGGGCACCTCTAGTTTCGAGAAGCAAGCGAAAGAGCGAGGGAGACGAGTCCTTCCCCTTACGAGAGACGACGAGATTGATCACGGACTGGGCCTCGGCGAACATCCTGTGGGAGCAGAGGAAGTGGGCCACGGCGCAGCAGGACCCGACGGCGAGGCGGAAGCCGGGCTGCGCGGAGACGAAGTTGAAGAAGGAGAAGAGGGAGGGAGGCGAGAGGCCGTGAGGGTTGCGGGTGACGAGGTCGGTGACATGGTCGGAGGTGAGGGAAGGGAGGAGCTTGCGGAGGGAGGAGTTGGAACTGAGGGGCTTGGCGGGGGAGCTGGATATGGCTTCGGAGAGGAGAGAGAGGGTCGGGTCGTGCGGGTGGTACAGCGGCGGAGGGCGGTACCACGCGGCGGCGCCGGCGGAGAAGGCGGCGGCCGCGGCCGCGGCGGAGGGAGAGGAGGCGTCGCGACGGAGGAGGCAGATTTTGGAGAGACTGAGGTTGGCCATGACCAGAGAGAGAGACCTTCAAAGCATGGTCACGAAGGACTGAAATTCGAAAGTCACCCAAATACTTTTTCTTAATTCGAAATTGCCCTCATGCTTTTTAGGAAAAATGACGTAAATAGTCCTTGAATTTTGACTCATTATGCACTTTGATCCTTGAACTTTTAATTTGTTTAAGGAAAAATTCCAATTAATGACCCCAAGTGGGATCATTTTCTCAAAAGAGGATCCAAAGTGAACATAATGACAAATAAAGGCCTGAAGTGCCTAATCAGCCTCAAATAGGGGCCCGAAGTGCTCAATTCGTCTCAAGTAAGGGCCTGGGTTCGCCGGCCGGTCAAATCTCACCGGCCGGCAAGCACAGTTACTGTTCCGGCAATCGAAACAGTAAATTTCGTCTCTGTTTTTTTTTTCCTTTTTCTGTTTTTTTTTTCTCTTCCCTTCGCCGGCCATAATGGGCCGGGCGGAGGTCGCCGGCCTCAAAGTGAGGCCGCCGCGCTCGACGCCGGTGAGGGTCGCCTCGCCCGCCGGGCCGAGGGCCGCCCACGCGGCGTCGGGCGGGCGAGGGCGACCCTCGCCAGATCCGACGAGGGCAACCCTCGCCCTCACCCGACGCCGGTGAGGGCAGCCCTCGGCCCGGGCTAGGCGGGCGAGGGCGAGGTTGCCCACCACGGCCGGATGCGCGGTCACCCTCGCTCGCCAGACACCGGCGAGGGCGACCCTCGCCAAATCCGGCGAGGGCGAGGGTCGCCCTCGCCCGCCCGCCCAGCCCAGTCAAGGGCCGCCCCTGCCGGCGTCGGGCGAGGGCGGCCTCCGCCTGAGGCCGGCGACCTCCGCCGGCCCCGGCTATGGCCGGCGGAGGGAAGAGAAGAAAAAAAAATAGAAAAAGGAAAAAAAAAAATAGAGATGAAATGTACTGTTCAGTTTCGGAACAATAATCGCTGCGCACGGCGAGATTTGACCGGCCGGTGAACCCAGGCCCTTACCTGAGACGAATTGAGCACTTTGGGTCCCTATTTGAGACTGATTGGGCACTTTAGGCCTTTATTTGACACCATGTTCATTTTGGGTCCTTTTTTGAGATTTTCCCAAAGTGGGGTCCTTAATTGAAATTTTCCCTTTGTTTAATGTAGTCCCTTAACTTTAACCCAATATTCAATATGATCCCTGAACTTTCGATTTGTTCAATGTGGCCCCTGAACTTTTGGTACATGTTCAATATAGTCCCTGAACTTTATAAAAATGTTCAATGCAGTCCTTCCATTAATTCAAGTTCAGGGACTATATTGTATATTTTCATATAGTTCAGAGACTAAATGGAACATTTACTAAAAGTTCAAGGACCAAGTTGAACAAATTGAAAGTTCAGGGACCACATTGAACATTGGGTTAAAGTTCAGGGACTACATTGAACAAATTAAAAGTTCAGGCACCAAATTACGCATTGAGCCAAAGTTCAGGAACTGTTTGTGTCATTATCCCTACTTTTTAAAATGTTTTTCCCTAGTCCTTAAAAGTTATAATTTTTCTTGGGATAATGACATAAACAGTTCTTGAACTTTGACATAAACTTTTAATTTGTTCAATGCAGTCCCTAAACTTTAGCCTAATATTTAACGTGATCCCTGAACTTTTGATATGTTTAATATGATCCTTAGACTTTTTGTATATGTTCAATGTAGCATACGAACTATATGAAAATGTTCAATCTAGTCATTCCATTGAACATTTTCATATAGTTCAAAAATTACGTTGAAAATTGAGGAATGACATTGAACAGATTGAAAGTTCATGGTCCACATTGCATATTGATTACAGTTCAAAAACCACATTACATATTATGTCAAAGTTGATTGTGTCATTTTTCCATTTTTCTTTTATAAGTTTCATTCTTACATACATGAATTGCTGGATTGCTCATATAGACAGTCGGAGCAAACATGCGATGTCGGAATTGGCTCAAAACATTTTCCGGGGGAGCCTTAGCACCACAAGCTCAGAGACGGCGTAGCTTCGTCGATGATGGGAGCGATACTCATCGGCAACAATTCGAACTCAAAATTAATGAGATGATGAATAACTTTCGAAATACGATGTTAAGCGACATAAACAACCGACAAGATGGTGACGAGACGATTGAGAGAGACTGGGAGAGGATCTGGAACCCACAAGACAAAACCATCACTCCCAGTTGCATGCCATGACGAGGAAACCTCTCTCCACCGCATGGAGACAACGCATACGAGCGGACCCCTCTGTGTATTATCAACTTTAGCATTGGCTTTTGTCTTATTTGGTGCGTGAGCGATGAGTTGGCTCGGTTTATACCTCGTGATCAGGACTTGTACTATATAAAGAATACATCTCGATCACTTATCGGTCTATCAAGGCGTGATCTAAAGGGCCTAAACCGGGTCGATCGCTTGACGGGGTGTAGCGGCTCCTGCATTGTTTTTCATCCGTCTTTTGATGGGTGTCAAAGTAACTCTTTACTTGCTGTCATGGATCGGGCTGCCCCGTTCTTTGACACGTCCTTAAAGGGATAGGGATAAGGATTCGCGGGCGAGGCGGATATTGAATTTTCAGAGAAGTCAAGCGACTGAAGGAACTGATTGCACCATCGCATTAACTGCAGCAACCAAGTTCAGTTTCCAAGCGGTGAGAAAGAGATGATGGGTGAACTCACCTGTTCAAGCCCATGCTCGTATCATAACCGCATGTCTTACATATTCACAGTGCATAAATGCAAACCTCATGATTTAACCAAAGGTCAGAATGACACGATGCTCTTTCTTGATTTGCTAAAAGTCAATCATTTTGATTATTGTACAGAAAGACCAATGTGATCACATTGTGGACATTTCATCTAACTACAGGAACGTGCTTGTTGTGGCTTGACCTGGCCTCCCTGAAAACTGATGCCTCCACCACATCTTCTCTTGTCCCACACATCACTCCATGCTTCTGCCAAAACCCCAGACTCTTCTTCTTCTTCCGCGTCTTGCTGCCGCGACTTGTCTCGCTCTCCGGCGACGACGCGTTGTATTTCCATTGATCGTGATGAAGCCCGACCTCGGCGGAACCGGGGTAGTTGTTGTTGTCGTAGATTCGACGAGACTCTATGAATCGATCCAGTTGCTTCGAAATCATGTGCACTTCGTATGGATCCATTAGAGAGTTCTCCTTCTCCTTCTCCTTCTCCCTCTCTTTCTCATCCCGAACCTCGGCAAGTTGAGCCAATTTCATGGCTTCATGCTTGTACCGCGACGGCCTCGGGGCTCGTTGAGTCCTCATGACGTCGTACTCTCGTATCGGCTTCCCTGCCGACCCCGACCCGCGTTCGTACCACGCCCACGCGGCCGCTTTGGCTAGGGCCAACTCATCCGCGCTTCCTCTACGTCTCGATTTCTTTATCTCCATGAACGAGCTGGAGGAGGAAGAGGAGGAGCAAGAAGCAGAAGCTGGCATGAGAAGGGTGCATAACAAGAGGGAGTTTGAAAAGGAATATGTGGAAATTTGAAGCTCCACGCTTATTCACGAAAAAGCGTCGGTATTTCGCTGGCGTCTTACTTGATGTTTTCTTTCCTTTTCCTGGTGAAAGAAAGAACAACGGCAGCTCAACGAAAAGGATCTTTATCAGTATCTTTATCATGTCACTTTTGCGGAGAAGCTCTTGCCACACAAGCACCGTTAATCGCTTCGACTCGTATGAAGTCGGTCACCGTAACAAAGTCATCCAAATAGTTACATCTTATGAGAAAATTTCTAGTAACGATGGACCACACATAAATTGAATGAGAAAATAGAGAAGGAAAAACGAGAGGGGAGATACAGAATTTTTGGTTCCTTTCATTGTTGTTGTGCTGTCAGCAATAAATATGATTTTGAGGGTAGGCGAATGGGTTGAGTTTTGAATCGTGATGTTAGGTGGAGAAGTCTAGGGATGATGGACTCCCAATTATTAAGTTCTCTAGCGAATGACGTCTTCTGGACTTTGTCTTTATAGACAGGGAATTAATTGTTCTGCCATGGAAGAAATTGTCCTTATCAGTGGCATTTCCTGGAGGTGGAATTGAAAGCCTAGGGGAAACTTTATAGCTTTTTGGCTGGACTTTGGGAAATATCAAATATGGCACACGGGATCGACGTGCTTTAGTTGTCAATGTTGCCCATCCTTTTCGTGTTATCGACAACGAATGTCGAGGTGGACCGCAGATGTTTCCACAAGTTGCGGAGTATATGGTCCAAATAATCATATGACCGGGCGATGTCGAAAGCACATGGGGCTTCGGAATGGAGCGACGGATCAACACATTGAGAATTTTATAGACCTCATACTACCATCTTATGTCGGACGACATTAGCAGACAAAGGAAGCTTTCAGAACAAGCGCAATACATTTTAGTACATACTAGTTGAAGTATCTTCTATCTTAGAGGCAACCGGTCAAATAATGCCCGTTTCTATTCTTTTGTTCCCCGAAACAAAAAAAGAACAGAAATCCGTTTGATAAATTTTTTGTTCCCGGGCACAAATTTGTTCCCAGAATCAATTTTGAAACAAAATCAAGAATAAAAAAAAAATTTCTTGATTCTGAAAACAAAAATCAAAAATGGAAAAAATAATTTTTTTTTTCTTCTTCTTCTTCGTGGCCGATCTTCTTCATTTTTCCTAGCCTGTGGCCGGTCGCCGGCGCCAACGACCTAGCCGTGGGCCAAGGAAGGAGAAGAAGAAAAAAAGAAAAGAAAAAAAAAAAAAGAAATATTAAAAAATTCAAAATATTATTAATAAAAAGAAATTTTGTGAAGTTACCAAACACCTTCAAATGCTTAGAAATTGTTTCCGGAAATGGAATAAAAAATAATAATTTCTTAGCAGAAATTGTTTCCAGGAATATAATGGTTACCAAACGCACCCTAAGTGTTTTTGCTTGTCTAGTTGAAGAATCATCACCTGTCATGCGAAATAGCAGCAGTCTGATTGTGAGTGAAACGATTAGGAACAATCAGACGACAAAAAGTCGGCATTCAACACTCCCTCATCAACTTGAAGACTGCCGAACGTTGAGAAACTAGGAAATGAGTTGCTAACTAAACTCTCTGCAACGCGGAAAATGAAAAGCCAAGCAACTAGATGCAAAACCTTGTTGCCTCTGTTTAACTAGGATGTACAACCTCCCAAAAGCCACCTGAATAGCAGGCACACGAAATCCAAGACTTCCTGAACGTTCTAGGATCTCAATGACTCCACATATCACTATGTGCTACCTTGTAAACAACTTCCAAGCACCTGCGTGCCTGAGCATGTCGATGAACTTTTCCGATAAATATGTAAGGATCATCAAGACAACACGGCACGATATCCCTAACTGTATAACACTTTGTTCCGCAATGTCTTCAGTAATCTTACGGAAGCTCACTGGTTGTGATGACTTTATCAGGACCAGATCACCCGCAGAGTTCCATCTTGACGTTGATCCATCTAGCTGCATTCCCTTTCCCTAAAATAAATTAGTGCTGAACACACCTGCAATTTTGGCGCATCGCAAATGAGCAAACCAAATGATGTAGGTGAAAATAGTGGATGTGTTTAGTAGAATACATTTACTAAATTGAACCTGCACAAGAAAGTTCTGTTTTGCCTTAATTCTTCAACAGAGTAACTCCAGATCCGGCATTAAGAAGCTCCAGTCTACTTCTTATGTCTCCTCATTTGAGAAATTTCCTTTTCAACCTGACTAATTTCGTGTTTCAGCTCGTGCATAGTGACTTCTTGAGAATGCTGCATCCCTTCCCGAGTGATATCCTCAATTAAGCTTGCTAGATGCTTTAAACATGAAAGATACTCAACCTTTACCTCAACAAAACCCGAGACCGACCTCTCATGAACGAACTGCATGTGAACATAAGATAAACCTGATTTGTTTCAGAAAACTTCACTAGCTAATCAAAAGAATCATTCACCCAAAATGAGAAAATATCACAATCAATCTAAAGTTATAAGATCATAGTGGGATACCCCCACCCATGAACTTTTAACCAACAGTGGCATCGCTAATTTTTACTGAACTACCATGTTGCCAAGCTAGCCCACATTCTGAGTAATCTTCTCTTCTATTCAGTTTAAATCTCAATAGTTTTCTCAGCTTAATTTTTTTGGTCACTCTGGTTGATTGACAAACTGTGTTTCTTTTAGTATTGATCGACACAGATGCTCCAATATTCAGTTTAATGGCAGGAAGAAAAAGGAAAGGTCTAAATTATCACAACAATGAGAGAGCTAGTGGCAAGAGGTCAAGTAATACTCAGCACCACATGTAACATACTTTCCACATATTTTTGGTTGCCCTCATACATCTAAGGCAAAGAGTTTACTCCCATACTAACCGGTAATACAAATGCCAGTGCTGTAATCTGAGGATATGAGACAGATTCACTTCACCAGTAACCACTACCTCGACAGTTACTAACAATTCCAATTCTAACAGTACGAGGACAAATCACCTAGAAATGTCCCAGTTAGGCTATGCATTAGAAAAGGAAATATGTACAATAATAACATCAGCACACATCCCTGGACAAGGTAGCCTTTTTCTCAGCGACCACGAACCATCGAGCCAAAGATGTATATCTTTAATACCCAGCAAAGCAACATATAAAAAAAAGAAGAAGATAAGGCTTAGTCCACTTAAGAGTAGAGTGATTAACCTCTTTGTAAGAAGACATGCATTGTAAAAGGGCGTCTTCAGCTTCAACAAGATGAGTGTTCTCATCCTGGTCAAAAGAGCAATACATATGACAGGTCAACTGCAGTGAAGTAGCTCAACAGGGTACTCGCATAATTGAAGTACTGTACAAAATCATAATATAGGCATATGCAGTGAATGCTATCAGTCTCAGAAAGGTAAGAGCCTGGCCATTGATGTGCAAACTTGCAAGGAAGAAGGCAGCAATAGATTTATAGAAAAGTATGATAGGAAGATGACCAACTGTTCAACTTTTCAAGGTAAAGCATAATGCAGCATTCTATTTCAAATGGAAAGAAAATTATAACCTTTTTGTGAAAGAAGACTAGAACATCAATTTTAACCAGGGACCAGAATTCACGATTATTCCTGAAGTTTGATTGTCTATCACGACATTGCTATTAAGTTAGAAGGACAAGAGCTCCAAGTATAGAATGTGTGCACCCAGGATACCTGCTGGCGTAACCGTTATAGACAAAATAATGGCTAAGTTCCTCAATAGGATAACCAAAAAAGATACGATGCAATGAATTCAAGATATATATGCCACGCATGACCACTGAAAAGCAGCATTGCCTGAATCTATTGCACATCTATATCAAAATTGAGTATCTGATCTTCTTGAGTTCAACGTAATTCTGAAGTTTAACCACTTTTAAAGAAAATATAGTTAATGAAAGAAGTAAGTGGTTTATTTCTTTTTGATCAGTGAAACAGAGTGCATGATACTCCAAACAAGTAGCCCAATTCCAGAACACCTGAATGTTGGAATTGAACCTGATGCTTTAAAGTCCACATCATGCCATTAGAAGGAAACAACACAACAATCATCATGTTGCCCAATGCAAAGTGAAGATGCATCACATGAGTAATTTGGAAAAGTAAAAGTAAACTAAGAAGTTGATTTTGTAATACTAACCCTTGACTCTTGCAATTCTTGCTTGGCAAGGCCCAGGAGCCCTAATGAATCAAACGACTGCAGCTGGAAACAAGCACATGAAAAAGAAAAATGCCTCAATCGACGTTGTTAAGCTAATGCCAGAATCAATGAACCTAAAGGACCAAAATTATTGAATTGATTTTACTTTCGCACTTGACAAAAGCCAACATTAGAGTTTTGAACTTTTAACCAGGAGTACTTTGACCCGATAAATTAAATGATTTATTTCAAGACGACAGAATGACGCAACAAGTTCTTTCACATGTCTGGTTTTTTAAGACCAAATGAAGAATTCTGAGAAGGTGGCAGTCGGTGGACTTCCCTAACCACAAGCTTTTCCTTCAATGTCAAGATATCGAGAGAATGAAATAATGAAAACTTACCAGTATGGTCATTGCTATGCGTCCATTGTTGCCACTCTCTGCCAAATTTCCATTTCTCAATCTACCTCTCTGCTTCACTGATTTGTTAAGTACTTCCCTCGCTATTCTGTCATTGGAAGTGAAAACATTAATAAACATTGAAGCAAGACAGAATTGACCCTGTCAAATGTGGAAATTAATCAAACATCATGAAAATAAGCACCGTATGTTTTTTATATATTCCAATTCAATCCATTCTAAACATTTCAATAACATTCATGATCTTCACCTGTTAGAAAGTCCAACCTAAAAGCTTAAGCTAATAGGTAGAGGGAGACCACATGAATATAAAGAGCATTTAGGACCCGTTGTCAAGCGATGTGAGATAATATTTCAACACCCCCACTCACGTGCAAGCCGGATTATGAGCAACACATGAAATTTTGACTACACACACTCACATGGAATTTTGACCACGCCCATTCACGAAAGAGATAGCATTAGCTCTGATACCATATTAGAAAGTCCAACCCAAAAACTTAAGCTAATAGGTAGAGGGAGACCACGTGAATATAAAGAGCATTTAGAACCCGTTATCAAGCGATATGAGATAATATTTCAACATCACCTTCTAAGTGACCCAACTTCCCCAAGTCCCCCAAAATTTTAAAACTGTGATCATGAAATGGAAAGGAAATATAGGCATTACATAGCCAAGTAACACAGTCTCTCCAGAGAAAGGGTCTCTCGCATGAAGGAAAGATATTTGATGATCGAGGTGAAGAAAGGTGCCCTGACAAGGTGGACAGAGAGGGAAGTGTCCTATAGAAGATTGGTGGAATATACACCAGCAACCTTCAAGAATGAAAATTCATGTAGGTAAAATGTTTAAGGAAAATAAGATTGCAGGACACTCAAACTAACTGCAAAGCTATAATATGACTTTCAGATGCTACATTATAGCCTTCACAATCAAAGTCCCTGGCCAAGCCACAGAGAATCTAAGAAAGAGAAGAGAGTTTAGTAAAAGATTACCACGTAGGACCCTAAAAGGCTAAGTGGACAGAGTATGACAATCATTGACTATTAACTTAGAAGTACATGAGCCATTCAGTATGCCATCTTGTTAAATTCCTCCGAGCTCTTTAGTCCCATTAAGAGCAATATAATATCTATTGCCCTCTGCAGTAGGAGGAACATGATTCCTGTGTAGGACATAAAAGACAAAATCATGAAGTTCCAGAGAGCATCAAGGTCGATCACAAGATATTCTGATTTACTTGTGGCTTACAATTTTTTTACTCAATTTTATTGAATTCAACTGTACAGTTAGAACCTAAGATTAAAGAACTACAACTTATGATTGTATTAGTAAATTATTCGGCATTGCCATACACAAAACAGTCGACACAAGTCAAAACAAGTTAATAATCGAGACCCATAACTTTTATGGCTCCAACCAGTGTGTATGAGAGAGAGAGAGAGAGAGAGAGAGAGAGAGAGAGAGAGAGAGAGTATGTTGAAGCTCAAGCTAGGAAGAGTTAAAGAATAAAGACCTTATCGAGTTGTCTAGGAAACCTTTTGCCTTGTCTAGCTCAACAATTGCTTCTGCTGGATTTATCTTCCTTAACTGATTGGAAATTAGCATTCCCACCCTAGCCAAGCGAATCATGTTGGCTGCAACCTGCCCAAGGACAAAAAATAGTTTGTCTACTCGAACAGCAACACATTTTTCCATTTCCAATCTTTAAAATAGTACTCGATGAGAATAAACTACAGGGCTTGTCACCATTCTTATTCTTTCAGTACATGTATCACAAGCCCTCAATGAATTCATTTTGGGAACAATTTGGCATTTCTACATTTTACATATAAAGAAATGAAGATTTAGTACCTTTTTCTTCAGGATAGTTATATAACCAACTTAAAATTTGAACCCAGGAAAAAGGGGAAATTGTTCAATGCAAAGTGGTGTAATTATTGCCATATGTAGAACACTGAGTATAATTCAAACAAATAACGAGATCTGACAAATGACATAAGATGAGGCTTCAACTTCTACATTATTATCTTCAACAATTCGAAAATCACGCATATGGGAACAAAAGATTATTAAGCGATGTTCTATAACACATCAACGAGATCATGTAGACATGTCCACTTCCAGCAACCGCACATCAGAAGTTTGACCAGAGTACCTCCTTGCAGAAAATTTTTCAAGTATGTACAGCAAAGCCATCGAATGATTCAAATTGTGGCACTTCAGACAAACTAAACAAGTAGAAGTGCAAGGTTTATAGCCTGACCATGGACAACAAATTTCTCCATTTACAGAAACAATATGGAGAGAAAAGGCATCAGTAAGAGATCAGGGTATCAAGAAGAATCAAGAATTTTAAATCATGCTGGGTCAAAATTTGGAGAGTTGATGATAGTAAAACCTGTATGTGGCTTTCTTTCAGCAAAGTCTTCCTTGCTTCCAGACACCTATAGGAACAATATCTCCGGAACTTATTTCGAAAACGTTATGAAGAATTGTAATTTTCAAATATTAATATGACAACTCACCTTTCAAGAAGTTCTTGTGCTTCCCTCAACTTTCCAGCTGTCTGTAGAGTCAGGGCAAGTCCTTCAGCAGCCAAGACAGTCTCTACAGAATGCCATCCCTTGTAGATTAGACAGTAGAGGAATATGTCAAACAACATAGAGGGAATCATGGTGGCTTCCAGTGGTATCAAAGCAGTCTATGACTAAGCCTTATCATTATAGGTACAATAAAGAGAAAGCCTAAGTAAATCTAACATTACTTTGACAATTGGCAAATCCTATGGTTGCCGTATATGAACACATTGACAATTATCATTGGCCCAAATTAATATCAATAGGAGAAAATTTCATATCAAATTTCAAATAAAATAAAGAAAGAAGTTTACATTAGAATGAGATTAAATTTAATTTAAGTTTATATTAAATCAAGCACAAGCTCCAAAAATTTAAAATCAAACCAAATATATACTTTTTTGAAGCTTTTAGCAAGCACAAGTCCCAAAATAAAATTAAAATGACACAAATTATCAAGCCAAAAGTTTTAAGTCAAGTTTCAAATATAAATCAAAACTATACAATATCCACGATAGAAGGTATAAAATGAGCTATACTAGAAAGAGAAAAGAATGTGGAATGAACCTAAATAAGTCAAATGTTGCTATTGAAAATAAATTAATATGAAACCATGATTGCACTTGCCCAATGTAATATATGTTCTAAAATAATCATTCGAAACAAATTAAATTTATGCTAGAACTAAAATAAGATGTTTGCACTAAGAGTTGACACATTGATACTATCTTTTATAAGGACATTTAATAGAGAAAATACACTCCCTTTAATCAACCGATTCTTGAATTAAATTGATGTTATAAAAGTAATTTTTATGATCACAGACTTAATATAGAATCATATATATACACTAATTTTCACTTTTTGCATAAATAAATTCCTTCAACTTCTTTGTCCATGCGCATGCACGGGTTGTGGATCTAGTAGACATTTATATGACTAGGCTGCCTATTTTCTTTTTGGCAAAGATGAATTGTTGGCAACTTGACAAACATATTAACATATCACCAAAAGTATATTACAAGTATCAAATGATTGCAAAACTTGTGCCTGAACTAGTCTGTCCATCCGAAATGCGGTACTTATGTTCATTATCTTGTCCTTTCCACAAGTAGGTAGGTACTTATATGGTCATATCACTCAACTGAAGCCAATTCAAAAGTTCAATGACTTGATTGAACATGTGAAAGGCACAACAACCTGAAGCACACATGTCTCAAAATTGAATAGCGAATTCTAATGTACCATAATCAAGGACCAAAGTTTCATGTAAAATCAAACCTTGGACAACTCCAACATATGAAGAATCTTTCTCTGCAGATTCTCAGCATCCTCAAGACGACTGGACTTTAAATATATCTAAACAAGGCAAAGGGCAATGATTGTTTCCTTAGATCAAAGATCCAAACCACCTTATTATTCAAAAGATAAAACATCAAGGTAGCATCAAAAATAAAAATAAAAATCAAGGTACGCTGTAAGGTATTAGTATAATGTTGTGTAGACAAGAGCCAAAAAGGCCAAAAAGCAGATCAAATATCATAAGGATTCACAGTGCTTTGTGAATTGTGATTGGACGATGGCACTCAATAACTGGACAAAAAAATTAGTCCTTGCTTTTGTAACATGCTAGCTGTTGGTTTTTGGGATAAATGCACCCTTTGTGATAGTAAAAAGAACTATATCCAACATACTTACAGCTATTGTGAAAGAAATATATACATCACAAGGTCATGTCATCTAGCTAGCTAGAACCTGTCATGTTTCCCAGAGTTCTACTTTCGATTTCATCGTGATTATTCCATTCCACCTAAAAGGCAAAGTGGAAGTTATACTAGTACATTAATATCATTTCCTTTTAGTATTTCATATCATTTGTAGAGAATGATCATTTCTCTAAAGTTCATTGAACCTAAGTCAGATAAGAAATTCAAAAAAGTGGTGCCCAAATCAATAAGTTTGTACTGTGAAAGCATTCACAATGTAAGATCAGAGTTTTAAACTGAAAATTAGAAAGAAACACAACAGACATGTTCGTGCCTATGGTCAATAAGTTTTCTGGGCCAATCCCATGGTCAACAAGTTGGGGTGACAGAAAAATCTAATATTTACAAAATCTAAATGATTATATGCTCAAAAATTTTCCTCTAAAGTTCACGTATCCATCAATATAAACATCTTCCTTCTGGTAGAGGAGACCCTCCTCAATGGTGAAGCATTCTTGAATATCAATCGATGAAATGTCATTAGGCTGCTTTCTCTACATTCCTTAAAAGAGACAGTCGCTCATCAAATATGTTACATAGATTAATGTTTGTCATGTTCAGTTGTAGCTCACAATAAAATTTCAGACTGGGGAAGCAACAAAGGTCAACATCTAGTTTTCATGATTAAGCCCAACAGCAGAGGTTCCATGTTGACAAGAGGTGTGAATTATGGTCGTTAGTCAACAAAAGACCAAGTATAAGTGAATGAGAAGAGTCACCTGAGCTAGATGACGCAACCTCTTCAAACATACCATAGATTCTCCTTGACCAGCTTCCTGTGTGTCATAATTCCAGTCAGAAAGGAGGACAGAATAAAGAAAATCAGCATTTTTTCCCACATACCTCCAAAATCCTGATCGAATCAAGGATAAGAGCCTCAGATTCCTTTTGTTTTCCTTGTAGATGTAGCACCTGCAGTTCAATCACATAGCCCTTTCCAGATTATGTTGGCTTGAGGAAAAAAATGACATAATCATAGGCACATAGCGCAGTGAGTCTTCCTGTTCTAGAAATGCATCATCATTGTAATTGGAACCGTCAAGCAACATTAGTTAAGCGTAAACGACAAGAAAACATAAATTAAGAAACCATAAAGCACCTGAACTCAAATAGCTGACGAATTTAAAGTTCAGGGGTGAAAGACAAAAGTTAATTTGTGCAAAATAAGTACAGTTAGAAAGAATTTAATCACCAATGTACAAAGATCTTAACATAAATCCGTTATGGCCTCATAAGCTTCAGGCGTCTCACAAAAATTGGTGCTTAGTGCTGCTTCAAACAAGTTATTCTCTTTGAAATTTCGAGTTTATGAATATATATGTATGCAGGAGAAATGTGAAAAATAAATTGGAAAGAAATTAATAAATCTCTCATGAAATAATAAAAATGGAGGGGGAAAGGACACCAACACCAAATACAACTTTGATAGACTAAGGTCATGCAGCAAATGCACAAATGGAGTACAGAACAAGATATAAATGTGGCATACTTGTGCTTGAGAACTATCAAGAACAACATATTGCAGACATAGGCAGTTTAAGCAGCGGAAATATCAAAGCAAGCTGAAGAATAGTACTTATAGAAAACCGCGAGTTTACCATTGCCAGATGATACATGGTATCTGCATAATCTGGATGACCATATCCCAAGACTCTCCCTTTTATCTGAATCATTTCAACATAACACTGAGCTAACAGTCTCACATAATGGGCAATTGCTTCATCTGCGTCACTAAGCATATGCATATTAAAGAAATGAAACTCTGTTTATGCAAACTTCGTTTATTGCTTCAGATATCATTATCATGACCACTATGGAAGAGCTTAAGCTGTAAACAAACACTTCCAAAGAGTGAAATTCAATAATTTTTTTATGTGCCTGTTATAAGCTTGAGCTGGTCAAAGAGCCACCAATGGTGAAGTATGTGATGTTGGAAGAGCTCAAATGTTGGAAAAGTGGTAGCTCTCTCACTTCAAGAAAAAGTGATATCCAATTTAGGGAGTTGAGACAATTAACCATGCAAGTAAGTACAGATGAATCCATCAAGTGCTTGCACATGTAACCATGCGAGAATGTATGTACAACTCCTTCAAGTGCTTGAACACAACATCAAAACGTATGGCTCACATGTCATACCTTCAGAGCTCTCTGTCCAAATAATCATTGCAGGACCCAGAAGACACAAAAAAACACAATGAATTAGAAAAAATGAGAAAAAGAATATTGCGTTTGTGTTGAAAATATTATGTATAAACTGCTCGAGTAAGTAGCAATTAAATAGGAATAGAGGAGAATGTAACTACTTATCAATTCAGTAAAAGCCAGACTTTGGCTGACGGTTGCAGCAAAAATGTTTCAATGATGAGGAGCAAGCATGCTGACAGTGACTAATCTGAGACAAAGATAATAAAATCACCTCCTTCATTATATGGCATTTTTCAACACACTAACAGAATGGAGACACACTAACCACTACTCTCTCAATATGGCAAGTAGTTCTACTTAGTTCCCCCCTTCCCCCTCTCACTTGCCCTCCCTCCTTAGAATGACCTACCTTTGATGGAAGCGGACCCATAAAATGTGACAAAAATCTTATAGATAAGAATGACATAGTGTCAAACTGTCACAACCAAGCAAAAGAATTTTCGTAAACTGACCAATCCCACGGTTAGCCTTTCCATTTCCTAGGCTAAATTACTGAGTAAATTAGTCATAAAAATGAAAAATTCGTTTCTCAGCATTAAATTGCCGCATTCTGAGGTCTCCCTATCAGATATAGGCATAGATTCAATATGCACATCATAGTATACCCGAGAATGCCACCATTATTGAATATCTTGTTTACCTCATAGTGGATTTGAGCTTCTTCTAACTTACGCTGTGCAAGATAAAACTGGCCAAGATTGTGAAAGGCAACTCCAACTCTGCATGTTACAGGTCCCGGAGAGCAAATGAGTTCATATTACATGCAACAGACTACCCAATCAAAGCAAAGCAACTAGCGGAAGCAAAAATATCGAACAAAAAGAGTCATTTTGTACGTATCAGCCTATGCATGATTCTGTCCCTTCAATAATATTTACTATCATGGTGCAAAGATGCCAAGAAAAAGTTATAATGGTGAGCAATCTACAGAAAATTTGACATAAGTATCAAGCTATACCGTATATCCTGAGGACCAAATGACTCTTCAAGAACATTGACTGCCTCCAAGTACAGTGGCTCAGCTTTATCAAATGCCTTCATAACTCTATAAAGCTCTGCCTGAACAGAATATTGGAACCAAACAGATTATTAGTCTGCACCGCAGTTTCACAAGTGACATAGCTTGTCATTGATTATTCAATATAACAATTGCATTCAATCCATTCAATCCATCGTTCCCAGATATGTTCACCGAGAGAGATGGAATAGTCGTAATGGAACAACATTACATTGATTTGGGGCATTGAAGTAAGGGATTCCAAAATCCTCAAATAAATGTTCATAGAAAACCCATATAAGTTCAATCCTTAAGTATCCAAATAGGAGAGATGTAGTCCTGTTCATAGACATCAACATAGTTAATATTGAGTGAATGATTTAGATGATGGTTAGAGGAAATGTCACAGGCAAATCTGGCTTTAAATTTCATCAATAAATTCAAAAGATACCATCTAATTCGTCTTCTTTCCATCAGTTAATACAAATGAAACACAATCATGGTTATCGATATTGATCAGTGAAAGCTACTTCAGCACAATTTCTTATTTAATTTTCCAGAGATTTGGAACAAGGCAATATATATATATATATATAGGCAAAGGAAGCAACTGATTAGTTGACCCACGAGATTGTTGCATGAGGATGCCACATGTGGGTCCCTCTCTCCAAACCCTTCTTTAGCTTCTTGCAGTGCAGAAAGGAAGAATCTTTCAGCTTCCTCCAGTTTACCCTAGCATGTTAAAAAAATGAAAAAGATAAAAACAACAACAAAAATACCAGATTCAGAACAATAGAGTACATCACCAAGGAAGCTTGCCTGAAGAAATGAATCTCTCCCATTATCAGTGAATACTCTCCACTTGGCTGTATGGATATTCGATACAACTGAACCGTCCTCAATCCTGCGAAGTCCAACAATATCAGCAGCTTCTGCATTATTTTTGGAGTTTGACTCGATTGACTCCCCATCTGCAACAGCCGGATTTGAACTTGTCCCAAGAATTATTGCTGCGTCAATTATTATGCAGGAGATAATATATTAGGGTAATACCATCACTACATACAATGACTTATCATTCAATGTATCAGGCATATACATTGTTAAGAGAAGCTACAAGAATCAACCGAGATTTTCACCATAGTAGAAGGAAAAATCCACTGTGAGACTCACCTTACTAAGAATTAGAAAGATCTGGAACAATTCTATTTTGAAGAGACAACCACATAAAAGATGCAAGATAAATACAAGGAATAAACAGTTGAAGCATATTGTGTTGGCATCAGTACTGTACTGCATATGCTAAGAGCTAGCCTCAAGGAAAGCGAACAAAAATTAGAATAATGAAAGGTAGATTGTATGACCACAGCAGAAGTGCATTTTCAAGGGCATAGATGTGCTCAGAGGAAGATCAACCTTGAAACCACCAAAGAGCAATAGTAATTTTTGCTACATTCCTTTCCTAGATAGCACATCTAATATTTCATCCCAGGAAGTTTTCGAAAGTTTGAAACAGGGTTTCTAGAGAGTAAATCTGCCAATTTCACAGAGTATCTGCAACAAGACACGAACACACTACACTAAATGTAAATGCACCAGTTCAATGATAAAGCTTCAGTCTTTGTCCAACTTAAACAAGCATAACAGATACATGGCCCTTGGTTGCAAACAGTTAACAGGGACTCAACAGCAAACAGGAAGCTTGCGATTTGTTTGGGACATGACTACGTAAGTCGTAAAAAGAAATTCAAAAGAATGGAAAGTGGCTAAGAAAAACAGGAACGCAAGATTCAACTAAGAAATCATTTTAGAAGCATAACTGAGTGGTAGAAAGATCCCCAAGAAAAGTTACCAGCTTGAGCAGCCACAACAACCCACCAGGAGAACTCCTCACGATCCTTTCTCCCTGCATCGCCACCCAATCGGAGCATATGCGAACCCTCGTGGGGCCTACCACATTCTTTAGAAGACTGGTTAGGCAATGAAAGACAAGATCCACTAGTACAATTAATAACATAGTATTAGAATATACAGTCCAAAAACTTAAAACCATCGAACTACGGGTCAACTAGGTACTCTCAATTGCTTCGCTGTACTCCAACCTCCCCAATGTGGGATTCTTCTTTGTTTCACACCTCACTCGCGCACTCAACAGAAACTTCATGAAATGCCATGAATGTGTCAAGCAATGCTTTTCGATAACGGTTCACAATACTGTCAAAAGAACGAGGCCTAACCAAGCAACACATATAAATGCAACAGCGAAAAGATTCGAGCAACCGCTCTAATCAATCACGAGCAGCAGCATTCTGCCAAAAGCTGCTCAATTGCTCCAAGCTAAAGCTTCTGCAGGTAATCACACAACCTCAAGAAACCCGTCGTTCATGAAAATCATTTTCACGCCGGACATCAGGAATAAGCCCTTTTTGTTCCGGCAGATAGCAAATATTTTCGAACCGAACATTGCTTGAAGCAACGAAACACACACACACACACGAGTTGTACGAGGGAATCGTACTTGGAATTGGAAGAGCCAATGGGTCAGTGGATGGTGATCGGGAAGGAGGAGGACGAATTCGTCGTAGAAAACTAGCTGCTTGTCGCAGAAGCATCGCTCGATCGATATCGATCGACCTTAATTCGGCAAGAAACGAAGCTCCGAAGCTGAACGGAGGTAAGACTGTAAAAGCTCCGGCGGCGAACCGCGTCGCTTCGCCTGGAAAGTCAAACCCTTTGACTCTCCGTTTGGAGGTTCTGTCCCCGCGAGATCATTGAGCGCAAAAGAAAACAAAGGTGGAGTTGAAAATCCATTTATAATCTATTTATGTTTAAATTTTTTTATTAAATATAATTAATTCAGGTAACGACTCAGCTTATTATTATGAATTAAGAAATAAGTCCATCGGATATTTTTGTGTATCCGTGTCTCTCGAACCTAGGTCAAAGCAGTAATCCCTTTAAAGCCTAATTTACCTATTTAATTTGTGGTTTAGATAATGCAGTTAAAACCCCCTAAAAAAGTGCTTACTAGAACTCTATTTTTAACTCATAGTTACTTTCGAAAAGTTTAATTAAGGTTTTACTTTATTCGCGATATTTATTTAATTGGTGAAATCATTATCATAATACGATGCGGCCACTAATGGGGCGATGATGTCACATCTGCTGATGTAGATGTCTTCATATATTGGGCTAAAAAGGTTAACGAGACTTGCACAAATTCAAAAGCACACGTTGTTTAATTCCCTGAGTATGGACAAACCTAGCTAACATTTGTGCAAAAACACCATCGCTGTTGTGGCAAATTGAAGAGAAACTTATGTCATGACTGGATTAGTATTATGGCATGGTCTTTTTGACCAACTGTACCGACAAGAAACTTCACATTTAGCATATTGAACAGAATCCTAGGGGAATTGCAGATTGCATACTCTATCAAAACCAGTACAGTCAGAGCTGGATTCGTTTCATGGCGAAAATCAATCATCGGATTGAGCTGCTTTTAATTTACGATGAGAACCGTCGCGGAACCGGGTCAAGTAGTCATTCGATGATCTCTCCTGTCCTTGAGGCATTCAAGAACATTCCATAGCTGGAGGTCATTCGAACCTCAGCCACCCTTTGAGACCTCAAGTAACACGTATCAGGCCATGCCCTTGTTGTCATCCAAACGATGTATATACATGCGTCCATTTGTCTTTCTAGTTATGACGGTTCACACTCCACATGAATAGCTCAGGTCTGCTTATCCATGTGATTTTCGACTTTCAATGACCACATTTTCAAACGCCGAGACATCGACTTTGAGGAAAGAGCAAGGGGACACGAATGTATGAATTCAAGAACATAAAAATTTTAGCCCTTCCAGATAGCAATACAAATTGGCGCCTGCCATTATTCGAAGAAACAGACTGAACTCATCTTCGCAAGTAAAACATTGAGGTTACCTTACCACCTCAGTACAAGGGGCAAACATCAGTAACTGAGTAAACCCTATAATCCAGGAAAACGAATGCACGCATCCCAATTGGTACACAAATCTTTCCTTTGTATCGAATGAAAAAGAAACCACAATCTCTTGAAGACGAGAAGCTGCGAACTCATGGCTTCCACAGGATGGTGGTCTCTGCAATCATGGAAGTGACGACATATGGGTCCATGTTGGAAGCAGGCCTTCTGTCCTCAAAATAGCCTTTTCCAGCTTTCTCCGTGTCTCGGCCAACTCGAATTGACGCACCACGGTCTGCAACTCCCTGTCCAACAGCAAGTAAGAGCTTAACATTAGAATTCTGGACCTAAATTGCCAAAAGCACCTAGAGATCACACACATTGAGATATACATCTTTTTATACGTCATTCTTAAATAAATCTACTATTATCAACAGCATCTTTGCCATCTACCTGTCACAAGAACGTATACTATACTAATAACAAGATAAATGCTGCATTTCAAAAAAAGGTCCTTTCCCCCTTTCTCCTGTTTTTAACTTACCCATTTGAAAGTGTTGATATCAGCTGTCTCGTGACGTCCAGTGAGACGGCGCTCATTGCCTTCACCATATGCGGCAATGTGCTCTTTGTGCCTCAGTCCAAGCTTCTCAATTGCTTTCTTAATGACCTCATATCCTCCTTTATTTCTCATGGACTTGGTACTGCAGTACAATTACATAGAGTTATACGCACAAAGCAGAGAAGGGCACACTGCACATTGAGGGGGCAAGAGAGAGAGAGAGAGTGACCATTATTCGCAGAAGCATATGAAGATTAACTGTTACCTGTAGTTAGTGTGAGCACCAGCTCCATTCCAATCGCCCTAGAACGGATAGGTGCAATAAGAGGAACACAAATGAGTCCGTACAAAGTTGAAATATTTCCAAAGTAGACATTACCGAGATGAAGACTAAATAATATGAAGGAAGATCAACTAACCTGAATAGGCTTGGGATCGAAGGAAAGGACCACTCCAGCTATCTCCGTTATCCTCTGTTTACAGGCAGGCATGTCAACATCAACCAAGGAAAAATTAGAAGCAGCAGAACCTTTAAATGTTAAAGTACCTCCAAAATGTAACGGGCGATCCACAATTCATCTCCAGCTGAAATTCCCACAGATGGACCAACTTGGAATTCCCACTACATTAAATGTGAGAAATTATTTGTATGTCTAATTCATAAATATAATAACGGCAAAGTTTCCCGTAATAAAAGTCATTATGTAAATCTTTTTTCCCTGATCTAGTCTCTTACCTGGCCAGGCATCACTTCCCCATTGATACCACTGATGTTAATGCCAGCATACAAGCAAGCCTTATAATGAGCGTCAACAATATCTCTGCCAAATGCTTTATCAGCACCAATACCACAGTAGTAAGGTCCCTGAAGCATCATAGCAGAAGTCCAAAATCACATAGCCAGCACAAGTAACAGGCAAATACCTTAGGTTTTAGCAAAGACGGGAGTGAATAGTAAAAAGGTTACGGTTAAGCCTCAACAATCAAACTCTCCTATTCAAGAAAGGATATGTGCATCCCACTCCTTATGGGAAAAAAAGGGAAGAAAAGAGCAGATTCTTCACACAGTCAATTGACCCTGATCATGCTAAAATATAGATGATTGACGACAAGGGGACAGCTATCCTTGCTTCCACCTGGCATTCCATCGATAGTTCTTTAGTTTTAGCATGGGCAAATAGTCTGGATCCAAAGCTAATGAAATGGCTAAGGAGAGTGCCAAGCCAAGACCATACACCAACAACCATGTTCAGTTTTATAGCTGTTGACTTTACAAGCCAAAAAAAAAAAAAATTGCAGTACCTGGGGACCAGGATAGCCACCAACAGGCCACCCTAGAGGCCAGGTAACATCCTTCTGCAATAGGGTGTACTCTTGCTCAAGTCCATACCTATTTTCCACAAGATTGAAATTTGACAATAAGTTTGAATGGATGGAAAAGAGGTAACTGTCAACCAACGGACTAATAAAGAAAGGATTGCGGCGTGGAAAGATACCAGGTCTCTTCAGCAACAACAGCAGGGTGGCTGAAGATCTTGGCAGCAGCACACCTCTTATTTGTGGGAATTGGTTCTCCCCCAGGAGTGTAGGTATCACAAATGACCTAAAAACCAATTGGGATTTTAGACAGCGATTAAAGGACACTACGAATGTAATATCCAAGGAAAAAAAACGACAAGGATGCAAATCGCATCATTTATAGAGAAGGGGAGAATACTCACAAGAATGTTGTTGCCACCTCTGAAAGGATCCTTGAAAATTGCTTGAGGACTGTTTGATGATATTTCCAAAGATTAACACAACCATGTCAATTCAAGCACCAATAATCGATGAGTTAACAAGCGAAATTGCCGACATATGACTAAAGAAAGCGCTAAAAATTTGCTCGTGAAGAAGATAAAGCAGAAAACTCACTATAAAATCACTTCACTGTCCTCTCCAGGAGCCTGTTTTGTGCTGGAACCATCGTAGTTCCACTTAGGAAGCTTTGAAGGATCACTAACAGGACCAGAGAGAGTCTATATCATCAAAAGTAGATAAAGTTAAGCAGAGCATGTGCGATGAAGATTACCAACGGCAGTAACAACTTGCTCACTTGTCAACTACTAGTGCACAGAGTAACTTACCCTTGCTTTGCTCCTCATGTCCATCCCAGAGCCCCCAATCCTATTCGATCAAACAATACACATGATAGAAATTAGCATAGTAGAAGGCATCCTATTCAATCAAACAAATCTATGAACGTAGAAATCCAGCAGAATTGCTATCTTCTATTAGATAGATCCACAGAAGGCGATTACAAGCAAAGCCTCGGTCGGATATTTCGGCGATTTCTCTTGGTGCTAGTACCTTTTCCGGATAAAACAAGAATTCAAACCAGCACAACAGAGGAAAGACTCCACTTCCATGCTTAAGTTTCGTAAAAGAAAACGGAAGAAACAAAAGTGTCAAGAAACGCAATACCTCAAAGAGGGTAAAGGAACAAGCATTCACATGTGAAGAAACCAAACGAACGACCAACAATCTTCAAACCAATAGGAAGCAACTTCTACGAGACTTCTTACACACACACACACGACATGAGAGCGATCCCAGGGAAAAGCCCAGAATTCGATTTCGGCAGCTTCGCCTTCTCTTTCCATCCACAAACCAAAAAGGGTCCGCGAGATCACAAACGAGCGACACCCTGAAAGAGTTCTAGACCCTGAACCAGAGACAGAGACTCGGAGCAGAGACGAGGTAGAGGAAGCATTTTTTTTCCAACGAGAAAAGTCGAGGGTGGGGCTGAGGGTGGCTGACCATATGTACTCGGCGATGATCTTCTCGGTGCAGTCGGAGAGGTTGAGGTTGATGAGATCCGAAAGCAGCGACATTTTCACCAATCCGAAGCGAAACACTCTCTCTTCTCGCGCTCCCGCTCTCTTCAACTGCTTTTACAGGGGAATGTGATGATGGCGGAAAGACCCTGGTCCCCTTCCCTTTATATAGCGCGCCAGGCAAAGCTTGTAGTTGAACTTGCTCCAGTTTTCTCACTTAAAATAATCAAATCGAAATTAATTTCGGCTTTCATAATTCAATACCATTTTTTAAATACTGATTTTAATATACTTGGCATTAATTTTTTAATAGAAAAATTGTAATTTTTATTTGAGATAATTACACGGGTGGTCCTAGAGCATTGGCCAGATGTGAAATATGATTCCTGAACTTTTAATATGTTCAGTACGGTTTCTGAACTTTTAGTAAATGTTTAATTTGTTAGGGAC